AAGTATTCCATGATCTAAGGATTAGCCTAAGCCCATCTAACACAGAAGATAAAAGTTACAATGAATTGTGTGAAACTTTACAAATATTACTTGAGCCTAAAGGTAGTATTATCGCGGAGCAACACAAATTCACTAAACGAGTCCAGAAACCTTGTGAATCTGTGGGTAGTTTTGCCAAAGACCTAAAAAACTTAGCCAGTAAATGTGATTTCAAATGTCCACAATGTTTCTCTTCGACAACTGACGTCCACTTGCGGCAGCAGTTTATTTCGGGGCTTCATGATGAAAAGTTGTTGTCAAGATTAATGGAAATTCATGAAAATAAAAACTTTAACCAGTGTATTGAAATAGCTAGTAACTTTGAACAGATCAAAAGTGAAACTGCAAAAATCCAAGAATCAAATTTGTATTCAAAAGTGGAAGAACAATTTCAGATTCAAGGAAGGAGGAACACTGGATATTCGCAAGGAAGAAAGGGTACTACAGCTTGTTTCAGGTGTGGAGGAAACCATCACGTTAGTATCTGTGAAATTCCTAAAGACATAAATTGTTGGAATTGCGACAGAAAGGGACATCTCAGCAAAGTTTGTTGGAGAAAGAAGCAAAACATGCTACAAACTGACGACGCTTCGCCAGATAATGAATATGACGATGAGGGTGAGTGTCAAAATGTACCATTCATGTCTATGTTATCCATTGTAGATAGGCAGAAAAAAAGTAGTAAACTATCTAAACTGTGTGATAGTATTTATCAACCAGAAGCTGTCAACAGGCCGAGGAAAATTATGTTAGAATGCACCATTGATGACAAGCGTAACTATTTTGAGTTGGATACTGGTGCTGCGGTCAGTACAATACCTTTACATCTGTTTCGAAAATTATTTCCAGAAAATATTCTAAATAGAACAAGAATACGGTTAGGGACATATACAGGAGAAATGATTCGCCCCGTAGGTTTTGCAACAGTCAAAATTTGTTATAAAGATCAGATGTCTGTGGGCAACCTATACGTTATTCGGGGAAATGTAGACAGTGTATTTGGAAGGGAATGGTTGAAACTATTCAACATTGAGCTTCAGAAAGAGAATAACCACAGAACTAAGAAGGATGGTGGAAACATAGTGGAAGACAATAAGTCATTGACAGGAGGCCGGTACCACGATAGGAAGGGATTTAATCACCCGGCACTCGACCAGATATCCAAAGAGCCTGAGACTCGATTGGCCACCAAGAGACAGGCGAGAGATGAAGCTAGAGAAATCAGGACGAAGGAACTAGAAAGTCACCAGCTTTACAGCAAATATAACTTTAAAAACCACGATGTACACTCCACTCCAAATAGAGCTAGCTCTGCCACCAATAGTAGATCTCAGCTGTGCTCAAAGAACAGCTATAAATCGTCAAATTGTACTTCTGAGGACTCTAGGGAGGAGGTCAACAGCATGCAAGTTGCCAGTATTGATCCAAGGGAATGTGAGGAGAAGTTTCGCAAAGCTGTGTTGACCAAAGCACATATGGACAGTGTGAAGAAGGCTAGAGTAGAGTACCAGAGTGATATGTCCAAGGAAAAATACAAGGATTTTGAGAAACATCTTCAAGTGTTGAAAGAACACAAGGATACCAAACCTCTGAAGAAAGTTCAAGAAAAACTAGGTGAAGAGCAGAAAACTCTAGAAGAACTAGAAGGTGTCCTACAACATAAATATGGGTTTGTAGATATTCGGTTGAAGCGAGTCCTAGAAGAATGTAATGGGTTGTTGGATGAGCTACGAGGACTCAAGTTAGAGTTAATGAAAGGGAGAGCTGCATGAGTTCTACACCGATGACAGGGACGATATACAACAAAATAATTAACCCTTAGAGTGCCAGGCGAAAAATAAAAGTAACGCTCAAAAAATGCCGATGATTTTTCCCGAAGGTCGCGCTAAAAATGCCGAGCGCGATCTGGCGATTTTTAGGATAAAATTTCGTAAAAATCGAATTTTCGATATTTTGACCAACGAAAATCGATGTATCGCATCTAGTAACTTTCGACTCAATGTTAATATATGGGTTAAAAGAATCCGAGTATCCATTCGGTTGTTATGACAACTGTTCGATCATTACGAAACGTCCGGTCAGCCGGACGTTGGCACTTTTGGCTCGTTCTAAAAACGTCCGGTTTGCCGGACGTCGGCACTTTTGGCTCGTTTTAAAAACGTCCGGTTCCCCGGACGTTGGCACTCAAAGGGTTAATAGAGCTCAGGTTAATTTTAAGGGGGAAGTGTTGTACTGTCTTTAAATACCATATTTAATTGTAATATTTATCAGCTGACTTTTTGTTTGTTTTTGTTTATGTGATGAGTTTTTGGAAATTGATATTAAAACAGGGTTGATCTTATCTTGGTTTTATTTTATCTTCAAACAATTTACACCATTCTAAGGCTCACTTGCAAACCAACCGATAGTCGGTTGGCTACTTGGAGGGTTAACCCATTGATAACGACTAGTGTGTGTGGCCTGTCACCACATTTTATTGTGAAATAACCATAAGACTGCTAATACACTGGCGCTAGTAGTTTGTGGAATCTAACCTGTAAGTGCAAATATAGGCAAATCAACCGGTTCAGCTAATGATGGCATGGTAGCTCAGTTGGCTAGGGCGTTAGTTGAGTTCTTTTTACATTGTGACATAAATTCTGAGGGGAGAATACACACTCAAATTTTTGTTCCACGGTTTTGATCAATCATGTTAATTTAATTAAAGGTTCAGAGCTCTAGAAGCGCTCAGGAAATCCTGCAGACGCTCAGGTAGAGCTATATCATCCTCACCTTCGTTACGTGATTTTGAAAATATGGCCTAGCTTTTCATGTTTGTTTTTGTAGGTCCGACAAGTATTCTACCCTGACCAATTTGATAAAACTACACACTTTAAATTATCTAAGGGTAGGCAATGATAAAAGAATGTAGTACGATAATTATCTAAAAACAATATAATAAACAAATTCCTACATAGTCCTCGGGCCCCTGATTAGAGTACCTAAACAAAGAATTTTTTGTGGTATTGTTAAAATAAATTTAGGTTACTATCCGTTGTAGCTGTTCAAATCGGAATACTCTCAAGACTTAATTAGCATTCGGATAACAAATCATCTTTATTCATGAGCGAATTTTGTAACTGAAATTCGCTCATGAATAAAGACCTTTTTTATTTATTTATCCAAACACACAACCATAAAAAAAGACACAACCGTAATAACTAAATGTAACGATCTCCTTGGTAAATGGAAAGGTTATAATTTTGAATGAATTTATACCGGACTAAACTATAGCCACCACTAGTCACCGACTGGTCTAGAATAAAGTCTACAAAATTAACTATATAAAATTTTATATTTAAATCAAATTTAAAATATTGGCAGAAGAGAGTGAAAATGAGATTAAATAATAGGTAACCTTCAAAATATATTTTTGATGATTGGTGTACGGAAGATGCAGAAGTAGTGTGTACCGGTACAAAATAATCATCTTTTCTTTTAGTCATGTTATGATACAGTTTGGTTGTTGCTAGCATGCTCCTTGCAGTAAATTAGAGTAGTAGCGGACATCTGATGAACGATTTCTCCATTGGTCTAGTCAACAAACACCAGTTTAGGCAGTATATCGAAATTGGCATTAAATATTTACTTGTAAAATGGTGCTGATCCTGTCAAAGTGTAGTGTAATCAGGCCGGTTTGATATGTTATTAATAATATTACACTAACATATCATGTGTTTGTGTTTTTACTTTATTAGGTTTGAGTCTAGACCTAAGTTTCTTTGCACATAGCTAAAACTATGGCTAACCAACAGACCCAGGTGTAGGCTATCGTGGAGGTAAATGGTAAATACAACATGCCTGGGTTTGAATACTGAACACGTGCAAACCATATATTGAGCTTACTAATGTGTGGATTAGTTGGAGAGGAGGGCCCACCTTAAATAAACAGAGTCCGGCTTTGGTGGAAGTTGAGCATTAGTGAATTAAATAAGGGTTGCACACACCTGTTTGGCTCTTTTTGACGCAAGTATAGAGGAGGAGGACATGTATTTATCTTTTTTGACCTTGATTTCTGTTGAAAATTTACTTATTGTTTAGAAATACTTTTACTTTAAAGATAAAAGACAAAAGCACATAATCAAATAAAATCACCTGATATTTTTAGGCATGATCATTGAACAGGTTCCAATTATGAAAGGGATTTATTTTAATTAGGGATGTTCACGTGACATAATTTATTCCAACTGTCACAGATTTTGTCGCATTGTGAGTGATGATGATGATGTTTCCACGATCGCAAGAGCTGCTCTGATGGCACTGCAAACAGAGTGCCACCCTGTAAAAGTACAATCCCATTCATCCCAAATTTCTTTAATATTTTAAATTCAATAAGATAAAGTTTTATGGATGAACAATAAGCAGTAAGCACACAACATTATTGCAACTTTAAACTAAACAACTAACTGTCATGTTAAACTAAGGCTATTTTATTGTCGTAAAAAAAGTAGAGATGTGAGACTTTTAATAGTTAAATATTTTTCTTTACCAAGCACAAATACCTCGCTTTAGATGATGATGATTTAAATTCCGTTTAGCCTCCTACTTTTCCTTGACTCTAATGTAGAAAAAATGATCTGCATTTACTAAAACCTCTTAAAAATGTTTGAGTTTCTTGAAAGAAAAACTGTTTATATTGAGAAATAATTTGACTTTTAACATGAGCTGATATCTATTTGATACTCTTTTTTTATTTTCCAAGACCTGTCCATTAACAATAAACCAGCTAGTCCAAAGAAAGTACTTCTATAGCTTCAATCATTATTGATAAAACCTCTTAAATATTAAATATTTTCAATAAATTTTGTGAAGAAGGAATATTTCAGCTGAAGTCGGTGAAAACCCCTCATGAACTAAGCCTAATTTAGTGCCGTTGCTGATGTTAAGGGGTGTTAAGGAATTGAAAAAAATTAACATTTAGCTCAATTCCAATCTTATATTAAACATAATACACAAAACTAAAGTCAAATCAAAATCTAATTACAAAGTACGGATATGCCCTTCGATGGTTACAGTGAACCACAAGCAATTGAAGGGAATGTCTACGCTAAGTCACAATTACAAATGAAGTGCTTATTATGGAGGTAATGTTACATTAACAAAATGTAGATGAGTACAAATAAAAATATTAGGGATTTAACATTCGTCGTCACTGATGGTCAAATGTGTAGTCAGCACCTGGAAAAAAGAAAACCCAGTTAAGTCAACAATACCGGATGTTTTATTTGCTATTTGTATAAATTTATTTGCAGTTAGTTGTCAAAAAAATAGTATTAAAAGCGCCTACCCCTTTGACATTTAAAAATCTGAAAAAGAAATTTAGGAATAACTATAATTTTGAAATTTGTGAGTCTTTGAACTTTTGTTTAATTAAAAGGTTTTATGGGTTAGAATAATTAATTAAAATTGTTTTAGCCACATTAAAATTGTATCATATACATTAAAAGAAAACTTAATCAAGAAAATAGTAGTGAAATGGTACTGTACAACATTCATAAATTCAATTCAATATTTCTTTATTCATTAAAGCACAAAGTACATGAATAGTGTCATTCTCTTACATGTTTTTATATTACAATGTTCTTACATTACATAAGTTTATACAAATTATAAATTAACGCTCCTTCTAAAATTTTAAAGTTCATGAAGGGAATACAATACCTTGTTGATGAGAAATGTTTTAAGACCCCTCTTAAATCCCACCATGCTTTTTGCCAATTTAATTTCATTTGGAATTTTGTTGTAAAATTTGGAGCCGGTATAACTTGATTTTTTACTGTAAAGTTCTAATCTGTGGCGGTTTAGAGCCACAGATTTTGTTGGTTTTGTTTCTGGTATTGTAGTGGTGGTGTTCACCAGTTAACGCCAATTGAGAAAATCTGTTTTTAACATACAGAACTGTTTCATAGATGTACAATCCATATACTGTACTGTCATTATTTTTAATTATCTAAAATGCTCTTTTGAAGTTCTCAAGTCAAGGTCCAAAATAATTCTTATAGCTCGTTTTTGTTATTTTAGGATTGTTCTAAGTAATTGACCGATGTAGCGCCATACAGAGATATTCCAAAAGAAATAACAGAATGTATGTACGAAAAGTATATTGATTTTAATGTTACTTGATTGAGAAGATTTTTTAATCTAGTTAATGCAAATAGACCAGATACAGTTTTTTTAATTACTTTGTTTGCGTGAGAATTCCAAGTTAAATTTTTGTCAATTTCAAATCCTAAGAATCTAATATTTTCTAGTTCTTCAATAGGTTTTTGATTAATTTCTAGTGAAGGATTAATTGAAAGTCTTGTCTGACGGGTCTTAAAATTTATGAACTTTGTTTTATCTGGATTCCAAAGTAACTGATTGTTTTGGAAAAAATTTGAAAGTATATCTAGATTAGCATTAGCTGTCTTTTCAATTTCCTCTTAGCTAAGTCCATCATTTACCTCAATGACGAGAAGTCCTGTGGGAGGATTCTGCTCTCTCTTCCCTTCGTTCTCTCTCTCTATCACGTTCTCTTTCTCTCTCTGGATCTCTTCTGGACGTCTCTCTCTCTCTTTCCCGTTCCCTGTCCCTTTCCCTGTCACGATCACGATCACGATCTCGCTCTCTATATCGGTCTTCATAATAACTCCTGAAAAATATAAAATAGAAATGTTAATCAGCTGGGTAGTAATAATCAAAAATCTGAAAAATATAAAACAGGAAGGTTAGCCTAATCAGCTGGGTAGTAATAATAAAAAATGACTGTAACAAAATTCAAACGAATGTTAAGGTAAACATACAATCATAAATAAAAGCAAAATAACAGCTGACGCATATTGTATATTTAATGCAATTAAGGTCTGATCTTCATAATAACGCCCGCAAAATACAGAAACGTTAATTAGGTGTGTGTGTGTGTGCGTGTGGAATAATAAAAATACTAATGGTAACAAATTTAAATAAAATAAAGTTAAGGTAAACAATTAATAATATTTTTTTTAATGTAAAGTAGACTCCCTCTTATCCGGACTCCTCGGGACCGAGGCCAGTCCGGATTACAGTTTTTCCGGTTAAACTAATGTCCCCAAAAACTTGTTATGTAACCCAAATATTTGACTTAAATTTAGGAGAGCATTGTATTTAGATTTTGTGCGCCATGTTCTGTTAATTGGGTAAACAATGGAAATTCAACTTTTCTTATGAAAATTTAACATGGGACAATTTCTATAAATTAATAGACAAGCATGTTTATTCAAATTTTTTTTTCTCAGCTCCTCTGTGCATCGCAGGGAAAATCTATGCATACTGTTAGAAAGATATTTGCCTCTAGATGTGAGAATCCCTTTATAAATTACAATAAACACAAGAAATGAATTTAGAATTAAAAAAAATTACACAGGCTGTGACTAAATATAGCATTAACCCATTGGGGAAGGAATTAATCCGCTACCTGCAGCACTCTCTGGCGGCAATTAATTTTACCGAATTTGTAGACTTTTACTCTAACTGCTATAGAAAGAAAACCTTAGGTAATAAATTAATAATTCTTTCACCATTTTGTTCACAGTAAAATTGTCTACAGAAAAGTGTTAATTGGATAGTCAAAGTTCTAAACTAAAAAAAAATATATATATATATAAAGATTATAAAAATAAAAATTTTCAGAACAATATTTTGAAAGTAAACTTGATACACAAATTCCAAGATTAATCCAGACACCAAATAACACTACTATTATAAAGGTCGATCGATTCCCTACGTAGAAAAATCAAAAGTTGTGTACTTTTATAAGTAATAACATTTTTTTTTTTATTGTTTGTTTACCTTACCGCAGCTGATTTTTGGTGATATGTGGTTTCCATGGCAACACAAAATTGTTTGTTATTCGCTAAAATAAATGAGTAAATACGCAAATCAAGAAGCAAGATATTTATAAACATTATAATAGTAAGAAGAAACAAAAAGGGCGAAAAATAATAATAACTAAATAAAAAATGGCGCTGCCTAGCGGTGACAAGAGCGGCTCTCGTAAGTCGGCCTCCGGGCCTGCAGCGGCCGTACGAGTAACGCTCGTAAGTCGGCGCCAATGGGTTAATATATAAACAGAAAATAAAAAAATAAAAATAAATAAATTCCAATCACATGTTTTATTTACAGCGTGGGGTGAAATAATAGAGAAGTTTACACAATACATATAATAATAAAAAAAGTAACAGCCTATTCATTATTTTTAATGTAATCAACGCATGGATGATTTATTGAAAAACTAAAATTTTAACTAGAAATTTGTTATTCAGACTGTTCATTTGAAAGCAGATAAGTGGTAGGCTTACGATTTTCTTAAATAAGTTCTCAAATGTTCTTAAATATAGATTAGGCTACACACCTAGATTTAGAGCTGACGACAGAAGCTGCATCAACTGGATCTGGCGACTTTACCCTCACTCTTCTAGTGGTGCTATAACAAAACACCATAATAGAACCTGACAACACTACAACATCCTAATTAAACATACTCTTGACAACTTAAACATCGATTCTATAATCATTCTCCATTTAGTTTAAAACCTTTCCAATTTCCAGGTTAAATTTGTTTTAAAAACCTTTACTTTTTTCTGTATCAATGATTATTAGGCACACCTAAATTCAGAATATACTGTAAACATAGTAAAAAAGCATTATTATTCTTCCGCAGCATGTTTAAAAACAGAACCCATCCAGATAACACAACCTTGCAAGATATGGGTGACTAGTTTGTAATCAGACAATATGATGTGAATACATAAAATACTTAATTGATACTAATAGTAGCAATTAAATGAGTCATATAATTAAAAGCAAACAACAAGATACATGTTTTAAAATCAAAGAATAAATTTTCTATCACCAAACTACAATAAAATACATAGGCAATACAGCATGCCCAAACTAATGTAATATAATGAATGCTTTGCAAATTGAAAAAAAAGAAGAAGAAAATAAATAGAGAAAGGACTGCTGTAATGAATCAAAACATTTTCAACTTCGAACCATCATTGAATTAAGAAAATTGAATAATAATGTTTAACTTAAAAGATTAAAATTATTAATATTTGTAGAAGAGAGGATGGTATTTAGATTATTTTAAGATACACTGAATAAAATTTGAAATGGGAGTAAAATTACTGTTTTGGAGGAAACATTAACAAATTTGATTATATTTTGACCATGTAAATATTACATATTTGCAGAACTAGTGTTTTCCATATTACACAATCAGTTTCATCAAGAGATTCCACGATCAATATAGATTGTCAAATCTTTGTTTTTAGGAGGTAACTATGACTTAAAACTAGCGTAAATACTGGCTGATGTTTTAAGTGCTTTGCAGAAACCCATTTGAAACATCTGCAAGTATTTTCACCAGGTTTAAGCAGCAGTAACCTCCCTAAAAACCCAAGATTCAACAGAAAACATATGTGTGTTTGATGTAAAATTGTCTTGATTCATAAATCTTTAAACAAAATAGAACTGTTAATTTGAAATGAAATTTGTTAGGAAACATGCGCCAATAGTTGGATGCAGGGATAGTTTAGGCATGCTCGAGTCTACATTCTATGAGAGAGAAGCGAGAGTGGGCTACAACCTTGATTGATTATACCTGTCTTCCCGACTGTGGCCTCTGTATTCCCTCTCTCTGTCTCGGCTACGAGATCTCTCCCTACCATACGCCTCTGCATAGTACCTACGACAGCCAGTAATCTCATAAGACGCGACGCTAACCAAAGAGCACATCCTGGCTCATTAAAAAACAAATTTACACCATACACAATAATTGAATATTTATATCAAAGTTGTGTGTGGTGTAGATTTGCTGAGTTACTTGTGACAGAATAACTCAATCCAAGACTTTTGCAACCCCTCCATACAAAGAATGAGTAGCATGATAACACTTTGGTTAGAACATATTCATTAGTGAGATAAATCTATCTGAAACCATCCAAATCCCTAGTTGCATTTAAAAAGACAGTTCATTACAAGAGAGACTATTTTCATTCATTACTTAAAGAGTAGACTATTTTTTTTTTTTTACATGGTAACAAGCTATCATCTTCTGCTATTACTGCATCGCTATCAGCAGAAATTCCAAATCAAATCACCTTAATTATCACTTTAATTAATTACTGACCTTAATTAAAGAGACAGTAACACTATTTCCTTTGGAATCTCTACTAATTTTTTTTTGCACAAACTATATGACTCTTAATGAGCTCTTCATTTATATCAATATCTAATAAAGCTTAAATTAATATTATTTTTTCATGAAAAACTGTACGTTGAGTCCTTTTTATTAGCGAATTTCCCTATAGGGAAGTAGCTATTACCGTAGGTGGCACGGTAAGACCTAGACCCGGGACCGATTTACTTTTTCATTTTGATGTCTCCAGAGGCCAAAAACACCATTCGTTCAAATTTTTATATATGTATATATATATATATAAATATATATAGACATATATATATATATATACGCCCGTGAACGCGATAACTTGAGTAATTTTTGTCCGATTTTGATGAAATTTGGTTTAAAGGTGTAAAGCGGGATAAACTTGAATGAGTTCGCGAACCAGCACGATCGGACCATGGGAACGGGGCTTTACGGGGGGTTTTATGGGGTCAAAATTGGTTTTTCTCACTTTTTACCCTCAAAACAAAAAATTTCCCGATTTATCTTTAGACCTTTTTAAAGAGCTTAAAAAAACAAATAATTTGGTATATAAAAGTATTTTTGTTCAATTATTAGTAACGGAGAAAATTTAAAAAAATGTAAATTTAAAATTTTCCATGTTATTCTTATGGAGAATATTGTCAAATGTTGTAGTTTGCTTGTTTATCGATATATTTTGATCAAACTTGGCAAATTTATTTATTTTGTACTAAGCTATCAATATTTTACTCAAAAACACACTTTATTAGTTTCCTTGTAGCAGCAAACCTAGGTACTCGTTAAACCTAATGTTATTAAAATATATTTAACTGAAAATCAATTTAGACAAATGGAAATTCGCTTAGTCGGCAGGTTTGCTGCGGCGGGGGTATTAAATAATACAATGATGGAGCTCATTACCTGTCTTTTTCACGTTCCCTCTCCCTATCACGGTCGCGATCTCTATCGCGACTCCGCTCTCTGTAGTCATGTTCACGAGATCGTGATCTGTCACGTCGTCTGCGATGGCTGCGGTCGCGATCTCGTGACCTTGACCTCTCTGCAACAACCACTTTCGTTGTGTAAATGAAACATTAAGAAGGGGGGAATTATATTACCACTTTGATGTGCGAATAGTATGAATTTAGTTTCTCACTTTTTGATGAAAATAATTCATTTTTTCAGGGTTGATATAACCCTTGACACAGAAGTATTAAACTATCAAATTTGTATAGTATGTCATATTAACTATGTAATATTAACCTATCAAATATTTGTTTAGGAAAAACCTTTTGGAATAGCACCTGTATGAGCAAGAGTAAATCTCAATATAAAGAACACAACTATTCATTTAACAGAGTAATTAAGATACTTCAATGTTAAGAAAGTGTTTTTTATTTGAATTGGGAAGAAGACATGGATCTCTTTCCCTAACTCAAACCTTCATTAGTTGACAATGAGAGTAGCAGTAAAATATATATTCTAATTATTAAATAGCATAAGATTGTCCTGTTCCTAGTACCAGTATGAACTATTTCCTTTCTTAGGTAAGCCTGTTATCAAAACTTAACTCCTAAAACATAGGTTATGAACCCTATGTTCTATCATTAACCATTATTTGTACACAGTAAATCTACCAACACCAAAACGTGCGTCCCAGCAGCAGCGTGAGTCAACCCACAAAAAACACTTAAATTTTAAATATAAAAAACCAAAACAAAATAACTAAATTAGAATAACGTATAAAAATACAAAATTGAAAATCTTCATAAATTAAAAACACAAGTGATTTAATAGACTTAATAAACCAATGTATATTTAAGTCTTTGTGAACTGTTCATAATTTTAGTCAAACTCTACCTGACATATAATAAGACTTGAACTCAGAATTACTTTCTGAATTTTTCTATGGCTGGAAATATTGAGCCTTACAAAAACCTCTAACTTAAAAACACGTCTAAAAATGAAACCACATATTTCTTATTAGAAAGTAAAAAGTGACTGAGTCTTATAACTTGGATCTGACCTCTGCGTGAAGAGCCATAGCTCTTGGTCTCCACTCCATGCAGGGTGTCCTGTAGTGAGCTGATAAGTATCTTACAGCGGTCGTCATTGGCTACCTTGGACTGTTTGATCAGAGAAATGGCTGTCACCAGAGTCTCAATGGCACTGGCGTACTCCCCTGAAACATTTAAACATTACACTGACTGTAACTTTTACAGCAAATTTAAATTTGAGAGCTGGGATTTTTTTGTTGTCTTCAACTCTTCAAGGCTGGATTTTTAAAACAGTAGAACTTCCATTAACCGGGGGCGGATCAACCGTGGTCAATAGATGCCTCTATGTTACATAACCTCAAAAAATACCATGAAAATTTTATCGATTGTATTTCCTCAGTCTAATATGTTGGAATGCACTGTATATTTAGCTATTACTGACCATTTTAGCGAATTTCCCTATAGGGAAGTAGCTATTACCGTAGGTCTCATAGTAAGACCTAAGCCCGGGACCGATTTACTTTTTCATTTTGATGTCCCCAGAAGCCAAAAACACCATTCGTTCAAATTTTTATATATCTATATATAGAGATATATATGTGTCCATCCGCACGATAACTTGAGTAATTTTTGTCCGATTTTGAAAAAATTTGGTTTGAAGGTGTAAGGCGGGATAAACTTGAATGAGTTCGCGAACCAGCATGATCGGACTATGGGAACGGGGGTTTATGGGGGGTTTCATGGGGTAAAAATAGGTTTTTCCCATTTTTGACCCTAAAAACACAAAATTTCACAAATTCTTTTTAAACCATTTTGTAGAGCTTAAAAAAACAAATAATTTAGTATATTGAAGCGTTATTATGCGCCTAATTGTTACGGAGAAAATTCCAAAAAATTTTAATTTTAAAATTCCCATGTTATTCTTATGGAGAATAAGTCAACTGTTGTAGTTTGCTTGTTTATGAACATATTTTGATCAAATTTGGAAAATACATTAATTTCTTACTTAACCCGCAGTACCTTTTGACATTTTACATAAAAAAACTTTTTTACCCTCCCTGTTGCAGCAAACCTAAGTACTCATTCAACTAATTCTGTTTAAATAGGGAATAAATGTGATATTTCTAAGGAGACATTTTAGTTTAAATCCAATCAGGCAACTGGAAATTCGCTAAGTCTGCAGGTTTGCTGCGGCGGGGGTATTTTTATATTCAGTAGGTTCTCCCATTATTGTTTTTGAAACATCAAAGTTCATTTGACAAAATAAATGGAAGCAAAACAAGGAAATAGCCATTAATAGCTTCAAGGTCATGCTATCCACTTGCACTGACAATTAATTATTGTCTGCTCCTTACACATCTGTCTACTGTGCGCTTACTATGTCACAACTGTTTCACCATGGCGACTTAGTAGCTTGTGGTTGAGTGATTAGTAACCATGGCAACTTGTTGAATGTGGGATGAAGAGAAACCAAAGAAAGAGAAAGAATAAGCGGTGTTTACAACATTGTTATCTCTATCTTAGACTATTGTTGTTATCTTTAAGACTTTATTACTGTTTTGTTTACTGACTTCTGTTTTGTAACAGTATGTAGTAGTAGCCTATAATGAATACGGGAGCAGTAGCTTACTATACAGCAGGTCTTTATACGGTTGACGAGAAAGGCTCGTCAAAATGCCTTGAAGGGTTAAAAATTATTGGCTTTAGAAATTTAACAGCCACCATTATTCAATATGGCAGTTCGCTACAATATCTTATTTCACCTGCTGCAGCGTCAGAGACGGCCCTAGCGATCGCAGAGCTGGACACAGTCCTGTTGCGACCCATCACTTCTTCAAACTCCACCTCACTGATGGCTGGCACCTCAGGCCTGTGCTCTACTGGAGGCGGCCCTCCGTAAGTCGGCTGAAACAACACCCAGTTGATGTCAGAACAAGACCAAAAGTAACTCTTGAAAAGGAAACCAAGGCTGTTAAAGAAGCAACTGTTGGAAGATTTTTGAAAGAATGTGTTTTTATTTGTGTTGATAAAATACATTTTTTGTCATAAGGTGAGAAATATGTAGTTTACTGCTTCACAGGACTAACACTTGAATTGAAAATGCATTTAGCTGTTACGTATCTGTGATAAGTAGAAAATTAGGTTAGACACACTACCAACTAGAAGTGAACTACCAATTGTCAGAAGAAATAGAAAGAAAGAAAGAAAGAAAGAAAGAAAGAAAGAAAGAAAGAAAGAAAGAAAGAAAAAGCGCTTTATTTCCAAAATACCCAGTGCACAATAATTCGTCCCACGCAGGGGACGTGCCTACGCGCTACAGCAATGACCTCTCGGTCGTCTGCCGGGTTGGCACGTCTAAAACTAAATCAAAACAATTATTGGATTCCTTTAAAATAAAATTATAAATCTTTCCTTAAACTAACAATTATGGCCAATATTTTAAAGTTAAGAAATATAATACAATCCAACCAGTTTCTCTAGTTATATCGGTTTTTTTTTTTTTTTTTCAGAAGAATGATATTGGACTAATACAAATTTCTTGCACATTCTCAATGTTACCACTTCTTCTTCAACAACTCTCAACGTCACTTTTTGTGTTATTCAAACACAAAATGGCAATAAAATCAATATTGTTGGATGAGATTGAATTTTAATCACAATTTAGTTACTTTAGTCATACAATAGTTAACTTACCCTCGACGTAGGAGGAGGACCATATCCGTGAGGAGGCCCGTGACCCGGGGGCCCATGAGGGGGTCCAGGAGGTGGCTGGGGGTGAGGTTGGTGTGGTGGAGGGCCTCCCTGCTGCTGGAAGAAGGCTGGGTTTACATGAGGAGCGGGAGGACCCTGAGGGCCTTGAGGTGGGGGCCCATGTCCTGGAGGTGGCAAGCCTAAAACACCAATATACTTGACAAATAAGAATAAAATCAGTCAAAACATCCACTAAGTGGTTTTTCCAACTTAGTTAAGGTGTGATGTGCTCAGCCTGTAGTGAAATTGAATAGAGTTGTGATTTAAAATTATTTCTGGATACCCACAGAGTATATTTACATTAAAGTAACTATCTTTAGCTATGTCAAGGAAACACTAAAATGTTGGGCTACAGCTTAAACAAGATTTTTTTCTGTAGTCCTCCAGAAAATTTTACTTAATTCCTTACCCAAACAATTTATATTAATACACCATAGACTTAAAACCAACGAGAAGTGTGGTAGGAACATCCTGAATGTGACTTGGGACAGGTGTGGTTATACAGGTTACGACTGTTGACTGAACGATAGATATCATGCAAGTGACCAGGCACCGTTACCATTACTTACCACCCATCTGAGAGCCCACAGGCGGTGGTCCACGTGGTGGCTGACCTGGCGGAGGGCCCTGCATGGCCTGGTGGGGGTTGAACCCTGGGGCTCCAGGCGGAGGCCCATGCTGCATCCCTAGACAGATGACAGTTTTCGATATGGATCGGTAATGTGATCAACTTTTGCAATTAATAAAGATTATTTATTTTGCAAGGTGATCCTATAGCCAGCACATGGTAGCATAATCCCCTTAATTCCCCTTAATTCTATAATCCCCTTATTATATGCTGCAACTTTATTTCCACATACAGCAATACACTACCAGCGATTCTGAACTACATGCAGAAAAAAGGTAATGTATTAAAATAAAAACAAAACTAAGGTATCTGAAATACAAACCAGAGTATCCAGCTATCCAAGAAAACCTATGATAGCTGATACAATGCCAGTGTTACAGTGATCAAGGGAACAATCTAGATTTCATGTGATCACCGTGGACGATCATAATGTTTATGCAATCACAAGAAAATTATAAATCCAAGCAGAATCTGGTACCAATTAGTTGATATTAGAAATAGACAGGAAATAGACAAAAACAAAATCTAGTTGTTAATAGTTCATCTCTTGCTTCAGTGAGGAGCACAAACTTGATGAGATGAAGAGAAAGTAAAAAAAAAACATAAGGTAGGCCTATTGCAGGGTTTGCAAGCCTAATTTTGGGCAAAAAGTTAAAATTAAGTACAACCTGTTTCTATATATTGCCCATACAGAAACATGAAATACAATTACAACACAATCAGTCATGGCAACATCCGTAATTATTTTCAGCAGCCGTGGTAACATTCTTGATTATCTCAAACGATCAGCAACACTCGAGATCGCGATAGCTGTGATGACTCCTTAAGATTGTGGCAATCTCTGAGGTGATTTCTCCTGATCACAACGACCGTGACTTCCCTAAGACTTTCAAAAGGACGGCAGCATAACGATAATTTTCCAAATTTTTTTACTTGACTTGACGTGGCAAAAGTTAACAAATTAAGATTATTGGTGGATTTTAATGGTCACAATTTCAAATCCAAAATTTCCTGGTTCTAATAAAACTTGAATGCCTTACAACAGGGTGTCTAGTTTATTTCCATTATAAAATTCACGACTAATTCCAGACTTTTCAAGACTAATTCCAAATTTTTCAAGACTAGTTTTTCAACAGTTAGTGGGTGTTAATACCAAAATGTATAGATTCTCAATTCTTGATACCGATACCAATTTTTATAGCTTAACCAAATTTTCTAAATAATACTACACCGACCCCTGTCTTTGTCATAAAGTAGTATTATGATAATGTGGTGTTTTCAAGTAAAGAAATAATGCAGCAATCAAAATCGATATGTTGATTATATCGATCTGTTATGTGCATCTTGAGTATTTCCATAATCTTTGAGTAGACTCTTTTAAAGTCATAAGAAAATATGACTGTTATTTGTTTTAAAATAACGCCTGTAGGCTAATACTTAGCAATTGCTCGAATTCGAGCAACAGGGACACTAGTCTTACCATGAGTACTACGGTAATAGCATATTCCCTATATGGTAAATTCATTAAAAACAAACTAACTTCGTTATAGTTTTAGCTGTTCTGACAAATACAGATCGTAGAAGTAGAACACACTTGCATGGCATGTCCCACGTATATACTCAATTCATTATAAAAATATAAACTAAACAGCACCATTGCAAAAAAACACCAGTTCAAACCACACACCCGTGCTGACGACGTACAGATATACGTCGGCAACCCCAGTGGTTGACCGGACTATGGTGTCTGTCTGGGCGTCCGCGTTTTGGCTCACACAGCGCGATCCATTGTGTTACATATCGATGGGAGCAACATCCTGTCACTTTAGCAGCCTCTCACACACTGCCGTAGCGGCCGACACGATGTTGAACGTTGACTTACTACGGAAAGAAACTATTTCAGCGCTCCAAGCGCCAGGTGTCTGGAACTATCCGAGGCAAGATACACCAACGAGGAAAGAGAGAGGCTAAGATACGACAATGAGGAAAGAAGAGGTAAACTGAGGCAAGATACACCATCGAGGAAAGAGAGAGGCATCTGAGGCAAGATCCACCAATGGATCTTGGTGGATATCCACCAATGTGATATCCACATATCACATTGGATATCTACATATCACACATATCAGTCACAGCTAGAAAAAAATAATCCATCCAAACAGATGTTCGTTATTTCATAGATGTCGTATTCTCCAAACAGATGATTAGTATTTGATAAAGACGTATGTGGTAGACTTGGGGAGAAAACTTGACAAAAATCCACAAAATTGGGTTTTGAACGTCATCAGTCAGGTTATTTCAAAAGTAGCGATGCATGTTTTAATGGCATACACTCTTGCCAATTCAGTGAACACAAAAAAACTATTTAAATCCCTATCGTATTTCGTATTCGTATTTCAGGAGAAGAACTCTTGTTCATTTTTACATGCAAAGACTACGTAAAATGTCTTCTGGGCCATGACAAACAGACAGACAGAAAGTGAGATAACACATTAAAAGCTTTTTAAAGTATAAACTTAAACATAACCGAAAAATACATGAGCACTGAAAATCAAACGTCATCGTCGTCGTCCGCGATCGCGACAAAATCAAGAACATTTCCCGCGGCCGAGCAGATATCATCGTCGTCTCCCGCGGTCACGGAAACATCATCGTCATCTCCCGTGGTCACGGAAACGTCATCGTCATCTGACACGGTCACGGAAACGTCATCGTCATCTCCCGCGGTCACGGAAACGTCATCGTCATCTCCCGCGGTCACGGAAACGTAATAGTCGTCGTCCGCGATCGCGACAAAATCATGAACAATTTCCGCGGCCAAGCAGATGTCATCGTCGTCACCCGCGGTCACGGAAACTTCATCGTCGTCTCCCGCGGTCACGGAAACTTCATCGTCGTCTCCCGCGGTCACGGAAACGTTATCGTCGTCGTTCGAGATCGCGGCCATATCATGAATATTTCCTGTGGCTGTTTAGACATCACCGTCATCTCTCGTGGTCACGGAAACGTTATCGTCGTCGTCCGCGATCACGGCAAAATCATGAACATTTCCCGCGCCTGTGTAGACATCATCGTCGTCTCCCGCGGTCACAGAAACGTCATCGCCATCTCCCGCGGTCACGGAAACGTCATCGTCGTCTCTCGCGGTCACGGAAACGTCATCGTCGTCTTCCGCGGTCACGGAAACGTCATCACCGTCGTCCGCGATAGCGACAAAATAATGAAAATTCCTTGCGGCCGTGTAGACATCATCATTGACTCCCACGGCCACGGAAACGTCATCGTCATCTCCTGTGGTCACGGAAACGTCATAGTTGACTCTCGTGGTCACGGAAACGTCATCGTCGTCTACCGCGGTTACGGAAACGTCATCACCGTCGTCCGCGATAGCGACAAAATAATGGAAATTCCTTGCGGCCGTGTAGACATTATCGTCGTCTCCCGCGGTCACGGAAACGTCATCGTCATCTCCTGCGGTCACGGAAACGTCATAGTTGACTCTCGTGGTCACGGAAACGTTATCGTCGTCTCCTGCGGTCACGGTAACTTTATCGTCGTCCCCAGCGGTCACGGAAACGTTATCGTCGTCCCCAGCGGTCACGGAAAACGTAATCGTCGTCGTCCGCGATCGCGATAAAATCATGAACAATTCCCGCGGCGGAGGAGATATCATCGTCGTCTCCCGTGGTCACGGAAACGTCATCGTTGTCTCCCGCGTTCACGGAAACGTCATCGTCGTCGTCCACTATCGCGGCAAAATCGTGAACATTTTCCGAGGCCATGTAGACATCATCATCGGCTTTCGCGGTTACGTAAATGCAAGATCTATGCTCTGTCATTTATCATTGGGGACGCTTATTGCAGGGAGGGATAACTTATTACTAACATAAAATGCTTATATTCAATATACTTAGATTAGGCTAGTTGCAATAACGAGATATTTGAAGACCTTTTGTAGCCCCACGTTGGGCGCCATTAAAAGAAAACACTAATGTGTGTTGTGTTTGTAATAATTTAGACTAAGTAAGTAAAATTTGGTTTAGGTTTGTACCTTTAATTTGCTTACTATTTATTATGCTAAGTTAAGCCTAGATTAAATACTTATAGCAAGACAAATGATTAATCTGAAGAATTTCTTAACAATACAAATTTAATGAACTAAAAATAAGATATTACAATGATGAATGGGTAAATGAACAGATAACAGATAAGTTAAGTTATAGGGTTGCCATCTTTGGTTTAGCCTAGCTCAGTCAAATCAGAACAATGAGTTTACAATTTAGTTTAAATACATAAATCTCATGGAGGGGAACTCGGCTGGCTAAAAAGATCTTCAAATATTTAAATTTATGAAATAGGCATAAAATGCCAATTATTATGAAAAATGGGATAATTTTGGTATTGCTCTTAGGCTTGGATAGGTAAATTAAGTAAGTCCAACAATGAATAGACTAGGTGAAAAATTTATTAAAGTTGAATTTAGTTTTCTTCTTCAAATTGTTTTTCAGGGATTATTCTTGGTGAAATAAAGTAGTTTTTGAGTTCAAATAATTAGGTTCGATGATCAGAAAGTAAATAAAATAGGTCTATTAAGTTAAATTTCTTGAAGGTAGGCTAAGCCTATACAAAATAGAGAGTTCTCACCAGATCTTCAGTAATAGTGTCCAATTTATATAAATCTTGAGGTGGCAGTACAATTTTGAAATGAAAAAAATGTATATATAAAAGCTAAACTGTTCTTCTGTTATTAAGTTAATGTTCAGTTAAATAATTTTGATCACTGACTTTATAAATATTAGGGATTATACCCTCACTTAATTTAAGGTGTTGATGCTGCCATGTCCCAATAGAGAAGGAGGAAAATTTTAATTTTACACAGGATGATCAGAGTTCATTGTTGAAGCCAGCTGTCTTCTTTCTTCATCACTTGCACATGCACTAAATATTCAGGCTTTTGGATATTAATTTGATGTTGGGGTTTTAGAAATAATTTATACTATATTAATAATTTTGGATAAAAGTGTTATTGCAACTATGGACTTAATTACAGGTTACAGGATTTTATTAACAATAATTGTTGAATATATAGGCCTACAATATATTTTAAAATGTGATGATGGTTTCTGAGGGGTGATTAAAGGATAATATAATTTAAATTTACTATTAATTTTCTGACAATTTATTTAAATAGGCTATATGGCGAATTTTGGTACAATAAAAGAAGAATTATTATATAACTAAAGAATGAATGTAGTGAAAGGTCTAAAAATGACATGTAACATTGCAACGACGATCGCGGAAAAATCATGAAAATTCCCGACTTTGAAATCAAATTTAAGACTAAATCCCGACTTTTCAAGACCATTTTGAAATCCAATACTAATTCCCGACTTTCCCGATTTTCCCGACTACTAGACACCCTGCTTACAAGCAATTTTTCCCGGTCACGGAAACGTTATCGTCGTCCCCAGCGGTCACGGAAACGTAATCGTCGTCGTCCGCGATCGCGATAAAATCATGAACAATTCCCGCGGCCGAGGAGATATCATCGTCGTCTCCCGTGGTCACGGAAACGTCATCGTTGTCTCCCGCGTTCACGGAAACGTCATCGTCGTCGTCCACATCATCATCGGCTTTCGCGGTTACGTAAATGCAAGACGACGATCGCGGAAAAATCATGAAAATTCCCGACTTTGAAATCAAATTTAAGACTAAATCCCGACTTTTCAAGACCATTTTGAAATTCAATACTAATTCCCGACTTTCCCGATTTTCCTGACTACTAGACACCCTGCTTACAAGCAATTTTTCCCAGTCACCAAAATCATGTAAAATTTCCAGTTGTCTTGGTTTTAGTGTCGGTTGGATACCTTGTCCTCCCCAAAAATTAATTAATTATGTCTAGGATAACTGTAAGACACTGACCAGGAGGGCGGTTCCAGTCTGGGCGTGGTGGAGGGCCTCGCTGGTCTGGTGGAGGACCTTGGGCTCCAGGCGGAGGGCCTCGTGGGGGGCCCTGACCTGGGGGTGGACCCTGGAACTGCTGCAACAAATGCTAGTCTTAGCAGACCACAACAGCAGTAACGATGGAGGGACAGGCAATACAGAGACAACCACAGAGGCATTGGATTGTAAAACTAACAAAATACAGTCTTCAAAACATCAAGAATTTACTGAACTGAATAAACAACTCTATTTCCAGCAGCGAAAGTAAAATGAAATCCTTATAGCCTATTTTATAGGTTGATACAATTAATAAGTTACATGACTAAATGGGATATTTGAAAAAAAAAATTATTAGTGATAAATATTTTGCACATAAAAAACTAAAAAAATAAATAAAAAATTGGACTAACATGACATTATTACGTTAAAACATCTTCTCTGCTATACCAATAGGGTAACAAACACAGTTAGATAGAGACTTTAGATAATTGTGAAGAGGTACCAAACCCAATTAATTATGGAATCCTTTGAACATATATTTGTTTTGATCACAATAAGTGTTTTGAAATAACAATAAAATGTTAACAGATAATAACGATAAAGTGATTCTAACACAAAATTGCTTGATAAAAAGAAAGTGTATTTTAATAAATGTTGTTGGAATTATTAATTTAATAGTTTGTTTATAACAGTTAAAACATGGATGGAAAGTTTTACCAAACCATCCCAAACTAAACCAGAGTGTTATTTTGACTAAATTTTTATGATAAATAACATCAATTTTGAAATTTTATAGTATCATAATACCAAATTTATTCAAAGCATTCAATTAGAATTAATTTGAAAAATACTTATATCAATACATAATTAATTTTAATTGTTAAAACTCATATGGGCTATAGTACAGTCAAACGTATTAATGTAACAAGCACTGAATAATTTGTGAACAGTTCCATATTAAAAACATAGAGAAAAAACTTATTATAATAAAATTATTTATTTTTTGAAAATATAATTTACTGGTATCAGAATAAGCTTATTACTCTTAAATTAAAGCTTAGCTACTTTTAAAGCAACAAATTCGGGTACTATAGTATAGTTGAAATTGGTCAACTTATCACTTTGGCAATTATTAACACTGAAAAGGATGGTTTTTAAAGCTGATCTATGGTAAGGTGACCTATAATATCACAAAAAAAATTCCATGTCTAAAAACCAATGTACAGAACTTATTAATTAACAGTTCTCAAACTTGAAGAGTGAATATAAACAAAAATATTAATAGCACATAAAACATTTATTGATCGCACGTCATCACAATAGACAACCCCACTAATCCGTCGCGACAGGGACCATGGTCGGAAGAGTAGCAAGGTCAGATTATTCGAGGGTCATATTAAGTGGTCAAACTAATTGCTTAACTGGCATTTATCAATCCCACGTTATCGCAAAAGACAATGATAATGTCCCAGGACTGCGAGAGATATTAAATATTTTGCTACAACCGCAGGAGACGACATTTCATTTACCGCAGAAGATATCCAGGAGTCTGCCGCTATCGCAGATAGCAACAATAGTTTCCGTGTGTACGATGATGTTTCCACTACCGAAGTGTACCATGGGATGTTCAGGAGTTTGCCACGATCACAAATAGACCCCCTAACAACGATATCAATTCTTTGATTGCTGGAGACGATTGTAATGTCCTGGTGAGTTTAGAGAACGTTTAATATTTTGCCATAATCGAAGACGGTGATGATATCCAAACGACCGTAGGGAATGTTCAATATTTCCCCGCGATCGCCAAAAACCGTTAACAATAATTTGTTCTGTGACCGTAGAATTTGATTTGTCTAGGATTTTTCCAAGACCGCTGAAGACGATGATAATGTTCCCATGAACATGGGAAACATTTATTATTTCACCAAAATCCTGGAGGTTGACGATAAATGTTTCCGTAATCGCAGGGGATAAACAACATTTTTGCTGCGACTGCAGGAGACACTGATGATCGATATTGCCGTGATAACACTGTCAACGATAGGCAATGGCACGGTCGGATCTAGCGAGGAGTCCGACTAACAGAGGTTGGATTAGTGGGGTTCTACTGTAGTTTATGATTACTATTTGACAGTGTGAAATAAAACTGTGGTTCCTCTATTTGACATGAGTTCCAAGCACCAAGAGGTACATTTAAATTTTAATTTTTTTTAATTTAGAACAAGTAAGCTTATTTTGAATAATTGCATATTACTTACACAACTGAATAGTTAGTTGTTTTAGGCTTTTACATGACTTTTTTAGAGGAACTTTTGGGGTACAATTTTTCAATCAATATAAATTTAATTAGTAATGATTTTTTTAAGTTAGCCTACAAGAAATTTCATAATATGACAAAAAATGTCAGCAGTTGAAAGATGACTAAACATTAATATACTAGAGAGTATACTTAACAAACTTAAGAAATTAAAGACTACAATAAAATGGGAAATCCATATATCTTATTCATATATCAGTAATGTTTTTTTTTGTTTTTTTTTTAGTACATATGTAGGTTCCACAGGAATTATATTAGTTTAGGTATAAGGTTGGTTAAATAAAAAAAAAAAAAATGACTGAGGAATATAAACTAGAACACTTCTCTAGGAACCTTCTGAAATTTTATCTTCAAAAATTTGAGTAATAAATTGTTTATGAAAAGTAAGTATTGTAAAAAAGTAGTAGAATGTGTATGACATTTTTGAAAGACAGCTAAGCCATCAAATTCAAATATTTCAGTTGAGTTCAAACAATATAACATGGATAAATACAAGTGACTGTTGCAATTGATAAATAACATTATTCTTTTACAATTTATAAAATGCTGCTAAGTAATTTAATTTACTATATAATAGGCTATTATACATAAATAGTATTTTTAGTCCACAAAAATGTCTAATATAGTCATTATAAAATCCTACAATACCAACTTAAGGTACAACATCTTTTAAAAATTGGCATTGTTCAAATATTACACTTATTGTGTCAATAAAATAAACATGATTTTAATTTGTTTGAGAAAATAGAAGAAATTAAAATATAACACAAAACAAATCATTCCATTTCTATAAGGTACAAATGCAAGTTAAAAATCAAAACTGTAGAAAATGTATGAAGATAAGTAATCATATTCCCCTACTTAATGATCCTCAAAGCAACCTTTTTTTTAAAAACGTCATGCAAATATTGTAACATTGACCTTTAAAAATTGATACTACAAATGTAGAGTCATTAATAAAGTCTTATTTGCTAAATATTAACTACAACTATAAAATAAAATCTAGTACATAGATTTTAGTTCAATTACAGAGAAAATATACCTATCTCAAAATATTGGTGAAATCTAGGCTTGAAAAAAATAATAACACATTCAAAGAGATGTCTAACGAGGATTTTGAAAGGAATATAGACTTCTGAAGTTCAATGTTAGGTTTATAGTAGTTTTCCTAATAGGCTACATGAATTGTTTTTTTTTTTATCAGATATCCAATGACTAATCAGTACCAACTGATCTTAAGGAACAGAAAACCAACAGATTCAAATAAAAATTATCATAACCATGTTTTAAAATATATTTTACCTCTAATATTTAAAAACCCATGGCAAATATCAATAAAGCTTTTAAAGGAAAAACTGTACAGCAAATATTAACTCAACGGCATGCTAATGTCCAGTTAAACAATAAACATAGCCTCAAGATTAAGGAGGGTTTTAAGGTAAAAAGTGTGTTCCATACAAGTCATATGTTTATGCTTATTGATTTTCAAACAGAACTATCACAACAGATAGAAATATGCAATTTTTTATGTTACCAAGTACTGAAGGCTCATCCTTATTTATTAACACCTCAAAAAACATAGAAAATACTAAAGTAAAAGTACGGACTAAACTTTTATCACATATAACGCCAATAAAAACGTCGTCAGTTATGTTACGTTCAGTAAGAGTTTCGAACATGATTTTAATCATAGTTGCCCCCTTGTGTGTTTAAAATTGTTATTATCAGCTCTTAGATTTAAAATGATAGGTATCTATTAGAATGTTACAGTAATCCATAAGTTACAGTAGGTAATCATTAAAAAGAAGTTTTTGAGTTCATTCCATAAATTATACATTAAACTCAATATGTGTAGAAGTTGGGAAGATTCCATTAACAAAGACAAGCTTTACTTAACCTTATTAACTACATGTTGAATAAAACTTTTAGGTAAAATATTTTGTTGGATCAAGATTAAACAGGATAAAAATTTAAGTTTAAATCTCAGGATCTAAACTAATTCTGCTTAAGTGTATGAAGTGGTCTTATCTCTTATGCTTATATTACTAACACTTGTACCGAAGACAGCGAAGTTGTATTCTGCACGGGGGTACTCACCATGCCGGGAGGGGGTCCTCCGGGGCCAGGACGCTGTTGCGGGGGACCAGGCGGGGGGCCAGGGGGCCGAGGAGGACCTTGAAACAAGTCACATGTCCAAATGCCAAAGTTCTTTGCAAAGCAATTGCTGCAATCAGTCTAGCTTACAGAATAAATCAAACTGACACAACGTCAATGGCTATACAGTATACAGTTAACAAAATTATATAGTTACCTTAGTATTTACCTTATACTAACTAAGATTAATATTAACTTAACAAATAATTAAGTAGGCAAAAACAACTCATTCGACTAAGATAAAGAATTTGCTCCTAGCTCCTTAACAAATATTACCTTTAGCGATATTTTAGGATTTGAAATTTAGAAGGTGATCTACACAAGCGGTTCAACTTATCAGAAATCAAATTTTGATATAAGATACAGTGTTTAAAAAACTAGATGTTTTATTTAGATTGCAATAGTTATTTTTATTTTATCTATTGTTAAAAAATGTCTTTAAGAGGGTTTTAAAATTGTGTATAGGCACAACTTTTCTAAATGTTGATGGTGAAAATGTTAATAATAATTCCTGCCATCAAACCTAACAAAAGAGTTATTTTTTTAATGGAGTAAAACTTTGTTTAAATCATCTCAGCATCCATTTGATTCTAATTTGAACAACTTGACTCAATTGTAGATTTTTTTTAAAATTTAATCTTGTGTGAAATTGAAGTGGAATAAAATCTAATTAAACTGATAGTTTGAAATAATGACAATACATATTCGGTGATAAAACGTTAGGAGGGCTTCAGTTTATACACTAAACAATGCATTGCCTGATTGAGTTTGGTTATAAAACACAACGGTAATAGTTTTGTAGAAATGAGTAGACGGTAGACATGCAATTGAGTTTTCGTCACCATTGATCCTGAAAAGATTTTGAAGACTTAAAAGTGTAATTAAGTAGATAATTAATGTAAGCTGAAGAAAAATATATAACCACGGATATCTTAACACCTCAATTTGCAGCATGTAGACTTTATTATTGTTATATTTATGCAAAACTTACATTCTCTTTATCATATTTCATAAATTTTCATTATTAATGTAATAATCAAATACACTTGGCATTTTGATTTATGAGAACTTTACATTTGACAACTATACACAATTCTCAAGAAATAAGCAAGATTTTGGCAGTCAATTTTTACAGTCTTTAATGCATTTAATCTACTAGTATAATCAGAAAACTTTATCGGAAGTACTGCACACATACACCAACGTACAAAAGGCTTCCAATGTTGCCAATTTCTATTTTACACAAATTTCTGGGTAAAAATAATCAAACATAGATTGATTCACATTAAGTTTAAACAAAAAAAAAAAAAAAAAACACTGATTGTGGACATCACTGATCTGTGTTGGACACCACACTGATTGTGTTTAAGAGTTATTTTTGGGGTTTAGCTTTGTTTTTTTGCACACCATGTTGAAATTGTGTTTGTGCCCTCAATCATAAAGAGAAAAATAAAAATACCGTAAAAGAAAATATTTAGTTTTGCACAGATAAAACAACTAGATAACCATGCTTTTTAGTTAGGCCTAACATGCAAGGTTTCAGAAAAAAATACCAACAATATAAAATCATCAAAATGGAAAAAATAGATAACATGTAGCATTAAGAAGATAACAGTGAGATACTTAAACTGGGCCTCAGTACTTAATTAAAATAATTTAAACTTAGTATAATTGAGTGCTTTAACCTTAAACAGGTTTTTATCAACCGGAACACAAGCTTACAACACTAATGATAAGATACAAGTTTATTCAGAATTAAAAAAAAAACGTCGCTTTATCAATGAATTTTTATTTCAAAATTTGGCAATTTAATTTTAACAGATGTGAACTAAGCCTAATTTACTTGAATCATATAATATCATAGAATCATATAAATTATCATAAGTTGAGAATCATGAGGTTTCTTTTCCCATAAACAAGATTTTTAGAGTTTGCTTTAGATGAAAAGAATTCGCAAAAGCCATTTCACAAAGTTTGAATATATTGTGAGAGTGCAAACGACACCAAATTGACAATCTATAAATGTTTCACTTGTGAAAGGGTGTTTTGATTAAGGACACATTAGAACTATGATTGTTGTTTCTTATTGTTTAAAACAGATGTGAACTAGTTTAATATGTTAAGATACCTTGTGACTGATTGTGCACTTCTGTGGAATGGGATGAAGTTCAGCTTGCTAAGGGCCATGTCATACGAGCGCAATTGCCGTCGCGCAGATGCCGTCGCGTTAAAGTCGCTCCAACCCGGCAATGGGGTTCTTTTGGAGCATGTCATATGGACACTAATGCCGTCGGCGAGTCCGCGTTAGCCGGACGCTGAGCGCAGCCAATGCGGGCGGTCGCGCTAGCGACGTGGCGCACGGACCCTGTCATACGGAGCGCTAGCGCCAGCGGGACGCATTTGCCGCGTGAGCACTGTCAGAACAACTGGAACACCTTTGGAGTGATCATTACGATATTTGATACGATGTTTGATACGGAAAAATTTATTTATTTAGTTGAAAAACTGCAACCTCTGTACGATGTAAATTTGAGTGATTACAGCAACAGGCAACTGAAGGCACAGTGCTGGAACGAGGTTGGGGAGGCCATGCACGAAAACTGGAATCAGATGACAGCTAAATTATGTGTATCTAAAATGTGCAAAAAGCTGATACAACCTAACTGGATGGTGTCCATCTTGGTAATAACATAATTGCCGCGACGGCAAATGCGCCCGGAAGACGCTACGTATGACAGGCACCTGGTGTTGGCAGGACGGCATCAACGCGACGCATTTGCCGTCACGTATGACATCGGCGCTACCTCGACGGCATCAACGCGACGCATTTGCCGTCACGTATGACATGTACTTTTTCCAGCGCTATCTCGACGGCATCTGCGCGACGGCAATAGCGCTCGTATGACATGGCCCTAACCTGAGAAAGTTAGAGTGGCTAACATACAAATGAAGAAGGCTACATTACACTTGCATTTGGTCCTAGTGCATTAAATAAATACACTTCCTGGAGAATTCCTACACCATGACACGATATACTAAATTTTTCATGTTAGCAAGTTGATCTTAATCCCTCTCCAAAGTAGCCTAATCTAAAGCATAGATAAACTAAATTAATTAATTTTATGTTCATTAAATAATAGTATAGTTAACGGATAACCATGTTACTTAATTGTAAAATACATTTTACTTAAATAAAGAGAGGAAGATGAAAGAATGAAAACATGAAATTATGTGCTCAGGCAACTCAATAATCCATGACTAAATAGACACTTAATTACTTATGTGTGATCATTTAACTAATTAACCTAAAAGCAAACATTTATAATCCACCAATTGGGTATATAATACTGTTACTCCCTTATTGTGATGTTAGGTAGAAGCACCTTTAAAAAAATTAAGATATTTGTAATATTCACCTGGAACTACTGCAAAACCCTTTTTTAATACGGATACTTACATGGCATTACATTACCAAAAAACCACAACTAAAAGAGACAGATTGAGTTTTCATATTACAAACCATTGCTTCTTTTATTCTTAGAATATCTTCACTGGACTTCCAAAGACGTTGAATGAAGTAATTACAAATTTAATTTTTCATTTCAAGGATGAATAAAGAAGTAATTAAATCTACAACTACTTCAAATGCCAGTTGGAATTTTTGTGACCAAAACTAACTCATGGTTTTAATTGATTTTGGAAATGTGGGTTTTTTTGGCTTAATCCTAAGTTTGAGAAGATCCAGTTGAAGCTGTAGGCCTACTTCACACAAAATTATTGGAAAAGGAATTGTAATTTTAAACTGCTAGGAATATAATATTTCCAGTATTATGTGTCAAATTATACTAAATATTTTATATGTACCAATCATTCACATTGCATTAAAAACATCATTGGAAATCCAGGGTTGACTTTCAAAAAAGATACTTTTGGTTTATAAGATAAAGACTCAACCAAAAACAACAGCTGCTGGTTTAGGTAATAAGTTTAGTAGGAATTGTCTGCCTATTAAACCTCAATGCATTGTCAAATTATCAATAAAGGCTACATACCAAGGAAAACACAGGATATTAAGGAAAGGGAACATCAGGAAATGCAAGGTTATATTGTACTTGACGCCAAAATATGTATGACTAATTTATATGTGTACATTTAACTAAAACTACATGAGTATATCTGAAACTGGTTTGATGAGAACTGGTAAAATAAAGTTTAGTTTAACACTATTCGTGCTGTCGACATGTTTGAACATAAAAGTTGCATTTATTTCAATGTTAAGCAATTGCGGGAATTCCCGTCATCAGCACCCAACGTGTTAAGTAGACTGTACATAAACAATATATAGAAATAAGGTTCTTTGAGCCCTATTAAAAAACAAAACATAAATCCCTAATAATACAACTAAAATGTTGGTTTGGCCCTTTATGTTTAATTTTGGTTTTGGAAGTTAGTTTTTGGATAAAATTTGGTACCGTACAGAGTAATAATTTTTACCAAGCATGTTCAATGGATCTTTGATTATCCTATTCTGACAAGTGCAAGAAGAATCTTGACTTGAAACAAACAGTTCAGGGGCTAAATCATGAATTTTAAAGAATCTTGAGGCTATTTTATACAATAAAAAATGGTTGAACCAAAACCACTTAACAGGACAATATACTTTAAATATCTTCACCCCTTTCAATTAATTTAATTGATCCCCAAACAAAATATGCCCATAGAATAATGACTTCCACGGTCAAAAGACTACGATAGTTTCTAGGCTAAGCTGAGGAAATGATGTGGAATGCCACTCTTCAGTTCAAACAATAAAATGTAATAATATTGAGCATTCTTCACAGCCAACATCACAGTCTAGCCAAGAAAACCATCGTATTTTCTTCTCCAAAACCAGTTTTCAAATTGGTTGGTCGGCAGTTGGCCTAGTGGTATTAAACTAAAACACTATTTGACCAGCTCTCACCCAAGTCTTACTAACTTGTAAAAAAAATACAACACATGCATAATCATATAATTTTATCATAAATGAGCATTGGGCATTAATTAATAGTTAAATCCAATACTCTTTATATATCTTTAGCACTGTTTAATAATTGTAATATTTTTTTTAAGTTTAAACTAACATTAGGCCCATTACTCTCTTCATAGCCTTCTATAAAACCAAACCCAAAATGATAAGTAACAGACAGTTAAATTGTATCAACACTAATGCATAAAATAAGAAAGTTCATAAAATTGAATATATCTTGTAAATAAACTAGGTATTCAACTCCTAATTTCCACCAAAATTATGATTACAGGTTTCGGAGACTAGACAAAAAAAGATAAAAAATACAAATTGATGCAAAGATTCCCCCAGTCGGGGTATGAAGTACTTCTTCAATTTGGACTGATAATGTGACTTTATATTCAAAACTAGAACCTTTGGTTGGGTTTGGACAAGTCTCATTGTCTCTATGACTGTTAATTTACATCTTAAATCGTAATCCCAAATTAATAATTATGTTTATTACAAGTTAGCCCACGCGTGTGAATAAGAATTATCAAAAGGACAAGGTCTACAAAGAGTGATTTCTTGTATACTTTTAAAGGTAACAGATAAAACTCTAGAAAAAAATACAAATGTTTAAAAGAAAACTATGTAACGGTATATTAAAATGTTAAACACATTTACAACTAAATAAAAACTAAAATATGTGCAACCAAACATTGAACGTGAAAAGGTTAGCTAAAAGACATCTCTTTACATTAACCGAAATACGCTGAGAAGCAAGGCAACACAACAACTATAATTCATTTGGTAAATGGTAAATACTCAACAATACACACCAAAGTCAGCCTTATAAATGGAAAACATTGCAAGACCTGAGTAATTGGTAATTGTTTTATAAATACCCTGGTTGTAAATAAAAACCAATAGGTACGTTGGTCTGAGATACACAAACAGTATTTACTGATATCTTTACAAAATGTCTACAAAAAAATGGCTGAAGTGCACGGGGTTAGCCACATTATGTATACAAGGTCAAATATAGTGTAAAACTGAAGACTTCTATAAGCAGGAAAAAATATAAAATACATAACATGGACCAAGTTGATACTTGAGTTTACCTCTTTATAACCAAAATTTACCCAGTGAATTACAGGGTTAACACTTTTAAAATAACCACGTGGATTCACTCTTAATACAGAATTTAACTCTTAAAAATATATACAAATGGTCTATTCATTTTTTTCAAATAATTTTTTTAACAATTAATCTTGCTTTAAAAACCAAATATACTTTGTAACTTCCATAGGCGTTTTTTCTTTATCAGAATATATCAAACTGGGTATTATATGATTGTTGCCAATTCAGCAACAGGAAACAAGAAAAGGATTGCAACCCAAAAAATTAAAAACCAAAGAGACGCCATTTATAATGGCTATGTCACAAAAAAATTTACTGACATAATAACAACTACCACAACAGTTCAGCGACAGTACCTTAATCGTTATTATCAATACACGAAGTAAATGTTTTAGGATATAACATTAACCAAACGTTGAAAATACCCAAAATACCCAAACCATCCCAAAAAAATTATTCAGTGTACATCCATACAGTGGGAGGCAGTTTAAGCAGGGGATTTAGAGGTGTTAGAAAGAAAGGATTGGGGAAAACCAAACACCCACAATTCATATCCCAGTCACATGTCAGGAATGATAAACCAACTAAACAAGGACTCACGTACCATTCTGTCGAGGGGGTCCGTTCCAGTTGTTGTGCTGGAACCCTGGGGGTCCTTGGTTTGGTGGGGGCCCTGGAGGACCATGGGGCCCCATGTGTGGGCCAGGCATGCGGGGCCCACCAGGTGGACCTCCAGGCATACCAGGCGGGGGCCTCATGCCTCGCATCTGAGGAGGCCCCATCATCATCCTGGGAGGTGGGGGCCCGTGGTTGGGGTGGGGCCCCTGTTGACCTCTGTTGTTCTGCTGCTGAGGCGGAGGCACAGGTCTTGTCTTTGATTGAGACTCAAACTACAAAAAAAACTTTCATTTAAAAATGAAAACAAAAACTTCTGTTACATTTAACTAATGGCCTGCATGTTTAATTGAGAGAATTTCCTAACAGAAAACTAGATGTGGTAATTTTTAAGTTAAAGGAGGAATGTTTGGATTCCAGTTACACATTAATGACAAACAATATTTTGATCTTCATGGTTTACTATTTTTTAACAAATTTAAGACAGAAAACAGAAATTTCACAGAGTTTTAAGCTACTAACAAGAGTGGATGGAAGCATTGAAATGTAATTTTGAAAGTAAGAATAAATATGATACAACTTAGCAAGTCTTAAATATAATTATTAAAACAAAATTAACACTAGGCCTACATAAAATGGGTAAATAAAAATGCATTATCAGTAGGATTCTAAAAATGATTCAGTGCTGTTAACATAACAGGTCTTATCCTACTAAGAAATATTTAACAAAACAAATTTAACCAACATCTAGTAAACAATTTAATTTTGTGTTTATCCTCACAGTTGGAATGTTAAAAGTCTTTGTATTTAAGGGAACAATCCAAACCCTCTACAATCTAATCTTTATCTTTTGTTAGATCATCACTAATAATTAGACTAATGAAAAAATGGTATCTGGGTTCAGAATCAATTTTGCTTCTTTCTTGTTCAAATCAAACCAGCGGCCATCAGATTTGAAGGTGTGGGCTGCCTCTCGGCTACCCAGTGGTAGTTATTGTCAAGTTACCTACCTGGTTGAGTGCTTGTTTGCTGGGGTATGTAACAACTGGACATTGGCCGTGAAGTTCTTTCTTAGGCAATCTGTCCAGACACATCCTCATGCTCTGATCTGAGCCCAGAGTGATTACACAGAATCCCTTGGACTGACCATTAGCTCGGTTTTCAAAGAACTTCACTTCAATAAAGTCATTGATGCCTATTGCAGACACTGCATCTGAGATATCTTGGTCTGTCGTCCACTGTAAACAAACAACATACGGAAATGTAATTTATAATCTATCTATATATATATAATACGCTAAGCCGATTTTTGTGAACAGAACTACTCCCTCATTTTTGGACCGATTTTGATGATTAAAGTGTCAAAAAAATTGCCCTGATCTGAAGTTTTGCAAAGTGTTTTTTGTTTTTTAATATCTTTATTAGTTTGGTTAGGATCTTCCATCAAAGTTGGGTTTTCTCCCATAAGATTAACATGGAGGAATCTAAATATTTATTGGAAACTTTGTCTCCATTAATTTGAGAGAACGGCTGGGCGTAGAAACTTGGTAGAGGTGTCCAAAGAAAGGCCTTGGTCTGTAGATGAGTTATCAAAAGAAAAACGAGGTAAATTCGCTTAGGGCTCTGCCCCAGAAGCCTTTAAAGATCCCTCCACAGATTTGTTTACATTTTGGTCATGTGGATAATACTTTTTAATAAAACAGCTGTTAATTTTAAAATTGTGTTTTAATTAACACACATTTATTGGGAGTTACTGAATTGTCCAAAAGAAGTATTTGCAATGTTATTTTCTGATTTTTAAATTGATTTTTCTCTGTATCATTTGTGTTGCAATATAAAGTTCCATTACGAGATGAGTGGAAAATCATTTTATCACAATAACTCCTACAATTGTATCTTATTGAACTATCTTATATCTATTTTACGGGTTGGTGTCTGCCTTTTTCACACCTTTTCCCTATATTTTATCATATTATTTTAGACAGTTCATCATGAGATTATTGTCATACATACTTTCAATCATTGGAAAAATCTTCGATTGTGTAATACAATACAAAATAATATAAGTGCAGAAGGGCACGGTGCCCATTTGAGCCGTGTCCATATTTGATCAAATTAATTGTGGTTTACAGCAACTGGATAAAACATTTTACAATATTTATGTAGAAATATGTGCATATTTAGAAAGTAATTAAGCTGGAAAACTGCAATATACTGCAGACTTTTCAGAGAGGTTACTTCGATGTATTCATTAAGCTTAGTGAAAACATAATATAGATATGTGTAAAAATAAGAACTTGAACTCTTAGAGAGCCTTTGAATGTTATTAGACTAACGAAAAGGGTTGTGCATGTTTAATAGCGCTACTCAGCAACAAAAACCATTTAATTTATCTCTAAAATATATATTCTCAAAGTGCACTTGGCAGCAACCTAAAAAATCTATGTAACTTAACCATATAATATAGTTACAAAATGCTCATACTCGCATTGTGACATTTATAATTCGGCTTTACATTTCTCCAACAGAAAATTCATCTACGGAAGAATTTTATTGTGCTCTTACTATGTCATTTGCATTATTTGTTGCCAATGAAGCTGCATGACCATATAAATGAGGAGGCCCCTAACAGTTCAAGAATAAAAGCCAACCTCACTTCAAGTATATTCCACTACACCTAACATTCCTTAGATTATATTGACAACTTTATGTAACTGATAAGGCTGAGAAAACTAACTGACATCCCCCATGTCAAGGAATTCCAGCTATAACAGTAACACCACAACCAATTTCTCAAAACTGTGCTAGAGTGTTATTAATCGGCACAGAAGTACGATATGAACTGACGCGACGTGACGAAGGAAAAATCAAACTTACACTGTAACGGATATACCTCCCTTTGAAGTTAGAACGTGTCTTCCCAACAGACAGATTTTTTTGTTCAAATAAAATCATAGATTAATCTGCATTACACTGATGAAATCACGGAAGTGTTTAACTACAAAAGATCCACCAATACGATTTTAATACTATTTTAAAGGTTCTTCCAAAGGAAGAGATACCAGATAGCATACTAACAACTACGATGACGTAGCCTACAGTATGGGAAATATTTTATATTTTATTCATTGAATGATCAACCATATTTGGTAACTAACGAAATTAATATCATTATTGTTTTTACACTTATCAATGCTAAATGCTCAAAATATGTATTATTTCACTCAATTTATCGCAGTTAGATGAATTAGCTTAAGCCTCGAAAGTAACCGTCGATTTCGACGGGTTTCACCTAGTTAGTTATAATGTTTACTCCACGCCGACACTATCTATCATTGTAACCTCTAGACTGTATTATGCATAACATATCTTTGAGTCTCCACAGTTAAATGGAATCAAACTTAATTGTCAAAAAACCGTTCGAACATAGCATAGCTATAAAACATGATTACATTGTCAAATTATAATAAATAGATTGTTGGCTAGTATTACATTAATAGTAAAAAATCAAATTAGTTACTGACTTTGCTTTAAAAAAAGTTCACAATAAAGATATTAAATAATTCTTCAAACTTACATTTCTTTGAAACCGGTTTTTTGAGTATAAGACCCCCCATGGTACTCTGTGGCTGTGATACCCATGCAGAGCCCAAGATACTTTGTTCACAAGTTTGTTTATTGCCCCTAATGTACTGTGACCTTTTCTAAATCCAAATTGCTCAGTTTTGTCCAGAATTGAGTATGGTATGCCTCAGACAAAACGTTGGAAAAAGAAAAAGAAACTGAAATGGGACGATATTTATCTGGATTTTGTTTTGCCCTTTCTTGAAAAGAGATTTTACTTCAGGAAAAACATAAATTTTGAATAAATTATTTATTAACACCGATAAAGGAACAGCAATACAGTGCATTAGTTTTTTCGTAAGGTCTCCAATAGAATTTCATCCCATCCTGCTGACGTTTTTTATCATAGGTACCTACTAATATTATAAATGGGAAAGTTTGTGTTTGTTTGTTTGAAGTTCAATCACACATTAACTACTGGTCAGATTGGGTTGAAATTTGGTATGGTGATAGCTCACAAAATTGAGACTAATTCCAGATTTTTCAAGACCAGTTTTTTCAACATTAGTGATGGTTTGATACCAAAATGTATCAATTCTCGATTCCTGATACCAATACCAATTTTTATAGTTCAACCAAATGTTCAGAATAATTTTGTTATAGCCTACTACACCCTAAGTATGAATGTTGTTAAGTATTATTAAGATAATGGGGGTTTTTCAAGAAAAGAAAAAAATGCAGCAATGAAAAAAATTCTAACTAGCTAATTTGGTTTTTTTAATTCATGAATAGTTTCCGCAACCGTGTAGACATCATGATTGACTGCCGCGGATATGGAAAAGTCATCTTCGTCGTCCACGATCGCGGCAAAATCATAAACATTTCCCACGGCTATTAGACATCATCGTCGTCTCCCTAGGTCACGGAAACGTGTTCGTCGTCGTCTGCGATCGCAGCAAAATTATTAACATTTCCCGCGGCCGTGTGGACATCATCATTGACTCCACAAAAACGTCATCTTCGTCGCCCACGAGCGCGGCAAAATCGTGAACATCTTCCACGGCCGTGTAGACATCATCGTCTTGCACGATAGCGGAAAACTCATGCTTATTTTCCCCGCGGTCACGAAAATGTGATCACCGTCTATTGCAATCAAGGCCTAATCATGAACATCTCCAGCGGCCATGTAGGCCTAGACATCATCATTGTCTCCCGCGGTCACGGAAATGTGATCACCGTCTAGAGTGATCACAGCATAATCATGTAAATTCCCGACTTTGATATCAAATAAAGACTAAATCCCGACTTTTCAAGACCTTTTTGAAATTCAATACTATATTCCCAACTTTCCTGTTTTTCCCGACCACTAGACACCCTGCAAGCAGCGACAAAAAGCTGTCAGAACATTACTTTTTCCTATTGTTTAGGTGGTAGAACATTATGGCTATGGTAGATGATGTACTATACTATAGTATACCGTAAATTAAAAGAACAAAATTTTATTAAACTGTGTTCCCTCCCATTGCAAACGCAAAGCACGAATATAACTGCAATAAGCATTTTATACTCATACGCCAACTTCGTATGAAGGACGGATACTCTGCTAGTGTTTTAATACTTTTGTTTTAATAACATCATCTGCAGTCACATTTGTGTAACTAAACATCAATTGATTTAAATCAAAGTCAGTGTGTTTTTCGATTTCATGATTCTAAATCAACCACTTGGCAGATATACATGAATTTTGTTTTTAAAAACAGATAATTTTGAAAGGAGGGCCATAATTTTGGTAAAGGGATTCATTCCGTTTTTACAGCTGACACTAACAATTTAAAGTCATTTCAGTGAATGTTTAACTAACAGCTGGTTTCAAACAGTAATTGAAATTTTTATGTTACAAGTTATTTGTTTGTAAAAATATTGATCGTCGGTGTTTGCCTACATCTATCTATACTTATTTAATACGCAAGCAGGTTTTTTGTGACAATTACTCCTCCGAAACTACAACAAGCAACAGTTACACTAGTACTAATCAAGTTTTGTCGTAAATGTAATCAGTGTAGGCCTACTTAAGTAAAGTTTATGCCAAGAAAATTTTAACTCGTTTGGGACATTTTTTTTAGCAACTATCACTTAATCGTTTAAGATATAAGTGATTTACATGTTGATATACTTGGTTAGTAGTGGTTGCTTTAGTGGTAAAAAATTTTGGTTAGAAAGGGCAACCGGTGTAGTAGGTCAGACTGAAAATGAAGGTAGCACTGAATGAGAGAATTGAGAGACGATGGCCGCCATGTGTACTAGGTGAATGGTAGGCCAACATTGGAACTAGGGGCTAAAAAGGGGATTGCAGGATTGTAATAAAGCCAAGACCCACTGAGCTGGTCGATTCTTCTAGTTGTTAGGTACTGTTTAAAGTTATTTTCCTAATTTACTGTTTCTAACAGCTGGTCTGATATTAAGTATTTTATATCATGTTTACTTTTTGTTCAGTTAAATAAATACAGTCCACTAAGAAACATCATCTAGTTTTTTCTCTATTTATCTATCTTCATCTGTCTTTTAATCTAAGTTTATCGATCGATCTAAATTCTTTAACCAGGTACCAACCATTTTACAGTGTCTCGATTTTGCCGTGACAGTCCTACCTCCAGAGTTGTATAATTTCTAGCTCAATGGATGCTCGCTATGATAACAGCGCTAAGATGTTTTCAGTCTACGGCTATTACATTTCGTAAAAAGCAAGAGCGTTCCCTGATTCTGTTTACTTATCAGACTAGGGTAAGACAAATAAATGAGAGCGCAAAATAATCTTGGGACGGCATGAACTAGGTCGGTTGTCTGATTAAGAAATTAAACATGGATCAATACCAACAACAAAATATTGCACTGGCAACATCCAGCTTAAATTCCGGTACAGTATGAGAGTTTTTACTGCATTTCGTCACTATTCACAGTTTGTTAACTAATTGTTATTCCTAACTTTTTTCTGCAGATATTGTCTAAATCAAAAGCCAAACAGAACTATCAAATATTTAGACCGTATTGCCCATCCATAGACCTATATGAATTTTTCAGTGACCTTTTTCGTACAATACGTAACTTTCGGTGACTTCCATGTCACTAAAATACTTTCAGACACTAAAAATTGTACAGGGACTTCTGTGACCGGTAGACACCCAGTTAATTTAATATTCAACTTCCATCTGTTTCTAGTGATCTAGCGCCATGATAACCGAGGTTCTACTATTTACAAGAAAATCACAATTCCGTTTGGTTTTGAAAAGAATTGGAGATGGTACGACTTTATTTATGTTGATGCGATAATAAACTGTAAGTGCAAGGTAATTAAAAGCTGTGCGAGATTATGCTAGTCTCCTGATCGAAACTGTCTACTCTTGAGTCAGATACGTTAATTACATGCCTTAACAACATTTGCTTTGAGGAAAAACAAATGCATGAACAATATAGAATAGTGATGACTATGTTTTCAATTACGACACAAATTAAGTGTTATTTTACTTAGTATTAAAAGCTCTACTCGAACTTCGAGCTTTTCCTAAATGCCTCGGAGCCAAGCTGAATGGAAAGCTAGACCAAAAAGCTCAAAGGTTCGAGTACCTACTCGCAAACTAATTTATATTAGATTTTTTTGTTACATTAGTTATTTAAGTTTATAATACAATTAATATTCTAGGATGCAATTCAAGCCTTGGCCTTGAGTTTTGAGACAGAGTTTAGCTTTGTTCCGAAGCTGATGCGTAGACAAACACTGCACTACACGTTATTATAGAGCTGGCGTCAATTCGAAGCCATTAAGGCGTATCCTGTCGGTGGACCCGAGATTCAATTCTCGAAACTCGTTATTCAAATCTCGAATCCGAATCTTTCCTCACGATTCGGTGGATTGGAGATTCGGATTAGACACATCCTTACTTAAAACACATATATTTTATTTTTATTTTGATGCTGTTTGCTGCTTTACAAGACAGTATAACAGGGAATGGTAGGAATAAAACGATCCCAAATTACTTTTGTAACACAAGAGGGGGGGGAGAGGTAATGTACCGAAAAAAAAAAATAAGTTGAGCTTACCCAGGTAAGATTGCCCACATACAGTCTGTATCGTCCTACATTGGAGCTGTTGTTGACACTATTGTTCATGTGGTGGAATGACCCAGTGTGGTTAGGACCAGAGCCAGAGTCATTGTTAGTAGACCCTTCACTGCGAGCTGAGGTGTTGTTGTCACCCCCTCCTCCAGGAGGAGCAGCTATCACATCATCATACAAGTCTACACCATCGCCTCCAAAATCTTCCTGCGAACCAAAAGAAAATATGAAACTTCCTAAACTGTTGATATAGGTACCATACTCAGATGGAGGGAATAAGTTGGAACCGTGTAATAAGGGCCCAAACTGATATCATTAAGTTTTGTAGGTAAAGCAGAACCTCGTTAATCTGATCTTGTCTAGTCTGACCCCTCGTAAATAATCCGACTGTGCCATTGCCTATCAGTAATACTGTTAACTTATCACAGTAATAATAAGACCATTTCCAACATCATCATCATTCTCGCTATTGCGGCAAAATCTTGTTTGTCCAGCTTTTTTGGTCATTGAAACATCATTGTCTTCCACGACCACAGAAACATCATTGTCATCCCCCGTGACCAAATCTATAAGACCGAAACCAACTCAACCAGAAAGTTGATGACAAAATCCAGAAAGCTTCAGACATTTTAACAGTGCCAGGGACAACTTCAACTACTGAACGGTCAGTGTAAAACCTGAAAGCTCAACTCGTTCAAGAGGAAAGTAATATCAAATCTCTGAAAAACAGTAGTGGTAATGAAAGGTCAGTTTTTAAGGCTATGTCGACTCAATATATAAAATGTGTGTCTAAAATTAATAATAAGCCTAATAACTTAATGTAAATTGTTAATTTGTAAAAAAATGGGTTGTATTCAAAAGAATTGTCCTAGTATAAAGTTTTGCTCTTTCTGTAAAAAGAAAATAACCATGATGGCTCTAACTGTTATCTTCCTATTTGTAAGAAAAATTTAACCCTGCTGCAAGGAATTGTTTTTTTTCAGAGATGGGCCTAGGCTTGGTAAAAATAGCAGTAAGTTAGGCATAAGAAAGATCCTGAAAATAGTGTAAACCTTGAAACATGTAGGCCTAAGCCTATAGGATCAAATAATAAGGCTTTTGTGCATTTTTGACAGTGGTCCCAAACCATGTGAGGAACTGCAGTAAGATTAAAAAAACATAAAAAATATCAGAAAGAGTTGAAGCAGAAAATATCAGCTGCTAAGAATAACCAGTAAATGTTCTCCCTCGGGATTAATACACATTAACTGAACAAAAAGCCAGCATCCAGTTCAGATCGCGACAATGTCAACCATTATTGTGTTGTGACAGAGCTGTTAAAAATTAAATCGTTGAATTTTTGTTTACTTAAATGTAAAATGTTGTTCGTTTTAGGCCCTAAGTGTGTTTTGACTATGATAACGCTACTTCATCTGAATGTTCCACTTCTGATGATGGCATTATATTTAATGCTGAAACGTCCGTAACGTAAGTTACAACAGTTTGAGCTGTAGACAAACGAAAATACCTATTTTCAATATAGGTATTAAATAAAAAAAATAATGATGATATAAATGTAACTTAGGCCTAGGCCTATCAACAAAAAAATAACACATTGATAATAATTAACACGTTTGCTGCGGCCCATCAAATGGCAGGCGTAGCCCCAGTGCAGCGCAGCCCGCAGCATCGAACAAACCCGATTGCCGGGTGATTAGCTTTCATATTTCAGTATGACGAATATCAATTAACGTGTGGTGATGTCCTGTTTCATGACAAGAGTCGACGTAGTTTGCTAAACACCCACAGTAAATGCCATTATTTTACAATAAAACACACTAATATAGCACAAAATTACAGTTAACAAACGTAATGAGTGAGTCAAAATGCACCAGGTATAGTTTCGGAACCAGTAACGATAATTACTAACAGATTGTACCACAAAACTGCCACTGTCATACACGAAGCACGGACAAAAATACTCCGACCTACACCGGAGTGCAGCTGCACTCAAACCGAATAAGTTTGGCGGGTGCACACTACCGCCCGGGCGGTACGCCGCAGCCTTTGCGGAGCGCGGAACTACCACCCGGGCGGTAACACGCACGCAATGTGGTAACTTAATGTAATGCTCCCTTTAACAGGAAAGTAACTTAGGCCTACCGCAGCACAGTGACCAAGACTGGTTTTACAAAAATGGCAGGAATTTTTCATGTTGCTGTATCTAATAAGCCTAGATTAGGTGTGATCGACGGAGGGTTAACCCTAAGAGTGCCGAGACTAATTTTCAGTACCGGTAGGCCTAAATGTGCTTTGTGGAGCGGTACCCTTATTTTGGCGAATTGGCAAGGTTTTTTTTATCTGTATAAAATTAGTAGGCCTAAGTAGAGATAAAACTATTAAACCATCCCATATAAGTATTCATTTTTTTCGTTATAGTCAGTAAAGAGAATTCAAGAGTCAGTAAAGAGAATTCAAGAGTCAGTAAAATAGAATTCAAAAGGTATGTAATAAAAACTAAGTTAATTGTGGATTTTTAGATAAAAGTAAAAAAAAAATAAGTTAGCCTAAGTTAAGTTTGAGTTATAGCCTATGTGGGTTATTTTTTTAAATTTTAATTCAAAAGCAAAAACTTGTCACATGAAGGCTAGGCCTAAGGTAAATTTTTCTCGAGAATTCAAAATAGGCTAAGTTATGCAAATTGTACGGTAGCCTACAGAATTTATTTCCCTACATAAGTTAACTTAGATAAAAATAACTAGCCTATTTTTGTAGATTTGCTAGCAATAAAACGGAAAAATTGGAAAAGGCCTAAAATGCAACTTAAAAAATGTTACGTTAAGGTAATCGACAAATTTTATCTGTTGCCACTTCAGCAACACAATTTGAAATCAAAATTTGGCAAATATTTGATATTATCTATAATGCGATATCGTGTAATTTTTAGATGTCTAACTTACTTACAGTATTTTTCACGCTGAATCCAAAAGAGCAATCAGTTTTTGTCGGTGAGATTCATAAGTGGCCGTAAAACGAAGGTTAAAATTACGAATCTAAGGTTCGTTGAGCTATACTGATGGTAATATGGCGTGGTCTGGACGGGTCCGTATGTGGACTGAGTGAGGAGGAGAGCAAACAGCTGTTCATGCAGAATGAAATCAATTTGTTTTGAAACTTGTATACTTTTGTATATATGTGAATAAAGTAACTTTGAATTGAATTGAAACCAAATAATCAGTTCTTATTTAGGCATGTGAGGAAGATAGGTCGGGGTTTATGCAGATTCGTGACTATATTAAGTCTTTTGAAGTGAGGTTAGATTAGGAAGGTAAAGGTTAGGTTATAATGAACCAACTCATTAATCTATGCAACTTCCGACTGTTTTTGCACAAAAGATCTAATCCAATTGACTAATCTAACCTCACTTCAAAGGACTTAACCCTCCGAGTGTCCCTTGTTTTGGCCTTACACTAATGTCTGCCTATTTTTTGCTCATTTGCAAGGTTTTATTAAAACGGATCTGAGAAGCTTGAAAACAATGTTAATTATACTGTTCTATATACCATTTTGTTTGAAAAATCATGGGCTTCAATATTATACATAGAACATAAGGAACATTTGTTTCAAAAAAAATTTTAGGTAAAAAAAACATATTTTGGAAAATTTAAAAAAAAATAAGTTCGCGCTCAATGAAATTGTATAAATTATAGGCCTATAAATATTTGAAAGTAGCCACTTTGTTCTAAATTTTATGAGGATTACAAATATATAATAATATAAGGAAGTAGACTTGCAAATAAATAAGTTATGGGCAAAAAACAGATTTCAGTACATAGCGTTTAGCTAAGAATGCATAGCCTAACCATAGCTAGGAATCTGGCTGATAATTTACACCAATATCACTAAGGTACCTACTTCTTCAGGATCATCAACCAGCCCTTCAAAATCACTTAAATCTTCTTATAATGCACCACGTATATCACTACTTTTGATTTTTAACACTAAAACAATGATAAACGTAATAAAACACATCAGTCATCGGTCCGAGGTTAACTAAGCTGTTTACAAATACGCACGTCAGCTGTCTGCTACAATATTTTCGGAACTAAAATGATTAGCGCTTAGAGACAGACCTCCGGAGAAAGCTCTGAATCTGTCAAATAAAACGATACCTAACTCGATCCAGTTCAATCCGATTTTGTCAGTCATAGAGCCTTCGCCGTAAACAGTGTTTATGAGTCGCTGCAGCGACAAATAACACTCGGAGGGTTAATACAGTCACGAATCCGCATAAAGTCCGACCTATCTTCCTCACATGCCTTTTTCTGACATAAAATGTGATTTAAAAATTAATATTAAGGTTGGGTTGGGTTAGTTTGGATTAGATTAGATTATGTAACATCATTTATTAGTTGCTGATACATGAAATTATGCACTGTGACACGTTTTCATTTTTAGGCACAATGGGATTATGTAGCCTACTAAGTATGTACGGGATTATGCACTATAGCACGTTCATTAACAGACGTTGAGGATTGGAATGAGTACGATCATGTCGGCAGTGGCCTAGATCCTAGCTTCTATTGCTGATGATATTTTTCGTGAATAAATTCAAATTTTTTTTATAATTAATGTTGATGTGATAGCCTAAATAGTTTATGTATCGTAGTTGATTTATTGCATTTTCTAAACGACAAAAAGGTCCATTTTCTTTTAAAAATCGAGCTATTGCATATTGTAACTCTGATTTTGTACTCATGGCGTCGTGTGTGGTTTTGTCTGTTTAGTATCAAATGTAAACAACTGACAGATGTTTCCACTCCACAAACCTTCCACTCCTTTCAGTAATGTTAGTCGCCACTAGAACAAACTACAAATAGGTGAATAACCCAACAAAACTGAAGCTTAATATTAATTATTTAACTGTACAGCCACTTAGGAATCTCTCCGACAAAAACTGATTGCATTTTTGAATTCAGCTTGAAAAATACTGTAAGTAGACATCCAAAGATAACACGATATCGCATTGTAGAGACATAAATAATTACCCAAAAATTCTTTCGATTCGCCATTCGTAGGGTTAAAATCTGCACTCATGTAGCCTAAAAAGCGTGGCGAAACTTTGATGTTTTAGGCCTACTAGCCAACATTGTATTATTGAGAACTAGGTTAAGTATCGATTTGATCGGTATAAATTAACTTACGCAGAGGATACGCGTCCGGTAACCGGACGTGGATTAGGCGTCCGGCAGTTACTGTCATAACCTAACCTAACCAACCAAACTTGCTGATAGTGAAAAAAATCAAATGAAGGTGCAATTCTCTTCATAACATAAAATTATAAATGCCAAAAATTCTAACAAAAGATGTACAGTTAAGAAGAAATTACATTCAAAGCAAAATCTGTGACAAAAAGTTAGAGTAACCGCTGAGTTTCGAACCGGGGACCTCTCGCATATCAGTCGAGCTCTCTATCCACTACACCACGAACACTGATGGCTGAACATCGTATCATTGTGGTAATGGCGTTCCGGGACCCCCTACCGGACGCCTAATCCACGTCTGGTTACCGGACGTGTATCCTCTGTGATTAACTTAACCTAGGCCTAAGTTGAATAAGTTTTGCCAAAAGCGTAACAACTAAATTACGCCTAGGCCTAGTGAGCTGCTTGTAGACTAAGTTAGCGTAGGGTAGTTAGACTAAACAATAAGACTGCACAATATGGATACAATAAAACTTTGATCTGTGTGACACAATGTTCAATTATGATAAATATTGCGTACTGCACTACACTTACACTTCGTTAGATCGTAAACTTAATATCCTCACACCATGTCAATGATCAATAATGGCGTCGAAAAGCCGGAAACAAAAACATAGCATGCCTTCGTTACAACAACGATTCGTTATCATAATACACGATTTAAACAGACAAGACACTAAATTACAGATTGTTCACACTATCACATTGAAAACAAACATCTTAGTTGACTTACCTGAGCAAAATCTTGTTCCAAATCATCCGCGTAGAGATCTATGTCTACGCCGTCCGCCATTTTCATAAAGGAGATCTCAAATCTGAAATCTCGCCTCGACCTCTCGACGACGGAGACGGACGCGGGAGTCCCGGTCGGGACGAACCACGAACGAACGCGAGACGAAACGAAACGACACGATGATCTATAATACCGCCGGCAAAGTGGGTGGAGGGAGAACGAGACCTTACCGACAGACCACCACCCACCGCCCACCACGTGTAGAACGCTGTTTTCGTCTGTTTAGAAACGGAACAGCGGAATTATAATCGAAACGGATCATCGGACCGCGGGTTTCTGTCATCACCGAGCCTGTTCTGTTTTAAATTACGCGGGAACAAAGTACAGTAGCCGTAAGTCTAAATATGTTAATTGAAAATTCTTTCAAGAATAAGAATAATTATTAAAAATTACAAATACCTATATAAGTCTAAATAAAGATTAATTAAATAAAAATCGTAACTATTATTACGGTACTTGTTGTTTACACTGTTTAAATAACAAAAGTATAGAAAGAAAAAGTATAATTTCATGTCATTCTAAATTATATAGCTTACAGGTAGGCCTATTTAGAGCTGTAAACATTTTAAAACTAGTAACAAAACATACCTCATGTTAAAATTCCTGGTCTTCAAAATGAATTCTTCTTAAAATGCAACAATTTAACACATCTATTTATAGACACACAAATAATATTTAAATTAATTTACATTTATTTACATCGGTATTTTCTTCATCTTGGAAACTGGAACAACAAAATGAACATAACAAATGGCTATTTTAAATGAGAAATATCTTGCTTTTATTTGTTTATATTTTATTTTTATCTTGCTTTTATTTATTTATTTATTTATTTATTGCATACACGGCAAACACCATTTTACAGGAGAGTTGAGTTGAGATTGATAGTTAGTGCGATCAATAATTAAATATTTTAACAAGTATGAAATACTAATAAATAATATGAAATATAATAATATGAAATACTAATAAATAATATGAAATATAAAAATATGAAATATAAAAATATGAAATATAAAAATATGAAATACGATAACAATACAGTTTTGATTAATAAAATATCATGATTTACAGGACGTGACAGCTATACAGGAATGTTGCACGAAAAACAAAATGAATAAGAAAATTTAACAACAAAAACAATCATATGACTATTAACAACAAAAACTACATGACAAACCATTTTGAACAAGACAATGTAGATCAATTACAACAAAAACTATATAAATAGACTATTTAACAACAACAACAAAATAAATAGACCATACAACAGTAAAACAGAAGGAGAAACAGATGAGTGACATTTAACAATATTTCACTACATGTGCATTCTTCTGAGTACGGCACTCGTTTCGGACTTGAAGGAGGAGACACTGCGGCCAAAGAAGTTGACGTCTCCGCAGATGCTGTTCCCTGTGCGCATCAAGCGAGGTACCGGACTGCGCTGAATGTGAGAGGTGGAGTAGTGATCTCTTTTAAACAATTGTTGATGTCTGGAATGACGAGGGACGTGGAAGTCAATCTTTCCCAGCAGCTCAGGACAGTCCAAAGAGCCATTTACTAGCTGGAAGAGGAATACTGCGTCCATCAACTCTCTTCGAAGAAGCAACGGCGGGAGGCCAAGAAGCTGACGAATCTCGTTGATTTCAACTTCAGTGTAGCGAAAACCCATCTTGACTCCGATCAATCTAAGAAAACGGTTTTGGACTTTTTCTAGTTCATTAACCAATCCCAGTTGGTAAGGGGACCACACAGTTGAGTTGAATTCCAGAATTGAGCGGACGAGAGTCATATAGAGAGACTTAATGGTGGTAAGAGAAAATGGTCCTCTGGTGGCTCTGAAGATGAAACCGAGAACGGAGTAGGCCTTGGAGCAGATGCGAGATATGTGAGCGCCAGGGTGAAGGTTGTATGTGAAGAAAACACCCAAGTCGCGGACCTCTTTGACAGACTGCAGACCTTGAAGACCAATATGGTAATTGAAACAGTTCATCTGTGAAGAGCGTGTGAACTGCATGACCACACACTTATTCTCATTTATGTCCATAGAGTTCATTCGACACCAATGAATAACATTGTCAAGGTTTCTCTGAAGGCGAGCGTTGTCATCCTTTGAGGAAATCTCACAAAAGAGTTTCAGGTCATCTGCAAAGAGGAGAAACCTAACGTCCAGAATATCTGCGATGTCATTTATAAAGATGTTAAATAAAAAAGGGCCAAGCAGAGACCCTTGAGGGACGCCAGAAGTGACACTAAACAGATCCGATAAGGCCAACGAGTGCCTTACCACCAAGGAGCGATTGGTCAGATAAGATTTGATGAAATTGAGAAGTGCACCGGTCACACCATATGCCTCCAACTTGCCAAGAAGATGTTTATGACTTACTCGGTCAAAAGCCTTCGAGTAATCAAGGTAAATGCAGTCAACATGCAGTCCCTTCCCAAATGCCGAAACAATGTAGTCTTCAAAGAGAATTAGATTGGTCGAGGTGGATCTGCTCTTCCTGAAACCATGTTGTTGAGTGGCTATGTGTTTCCCCAGTTCGAAGTTTAGTCCTTCAAGTACCAGGCTTTCAAATATTTTGCCGATGATGGGAAGGAGGACAACCGGGCGGTAGTTTGAGACATCACTGCGGTCTCCTGACTAGAAAATTGGGACTATGATGCCTGATTTCAAATACGAAGGAAAAATGCCAGAAGACAAGAAGCAATTGAAAAAAATAGTTAGGATTGGAGCAAGAACTGGGCTGCACTGCTTTATAACTTGCGGAGGAATTCCATCAGGGCCGGCAGCTTTCGAAACATCGATCCGGCTGCACTTTCCTTCAACATCCAGGGCGGAAAATTTCCATGAAGAAAAGGATTCTTCAGTCTTACTATCAAAAGTAGGAGTGAAGAATCATTTTTTAGAAAAACGTTGCTTTTATTGAGGAAGGACAGAAACCATTTATTTTACAGGAACCCTGTATTTTTGTTTCCCTTTTTCTTTTGCCGGATAAAAGGCTTAGGTTCAAAGTTTCCCCATCTATTGCACTTAAAATCAATTCTGTTCTTACCAGATAGAAGCCTCTGTCCGGTTTGTTTCGTAAACAACACATTTTCCTTTTCTTCTGTCTTGCTTTTCCAAGTGCAGAAATCTGACGAACTAGAAAAACTAAGAACCGACTTGACAAGTTTAATATTGTGCTACTCTGCCAAATGTCCCTCTATTTCAGCACTACCAAATGCATTATTGCATACACTGCAATTTTTTTTTTTAGTTTGCGTGCATACCTTCAATTTGACCTCAAGCATGAAAATCGGCCGGGTAAACGAGCCAAACGAACTCGGAAGAAAAACCAATTGTTTACGTATAAGCCGAGTGGGGCTGTGCGAGGTAGGTCAGTGGCGGTTCTAGGATCTTGTCCAGCAGGGCTCCCGGGGTCTGGGGACCTCCCCGGGAAAATTTTGTATACTTTTAAAGTAGTTTAGTGACTTTCTAAAGCAATCTTTAACGCCTAAAACTGTCTTCAATCGTAAAAAAACTCCCATTTATTAACCTATTGTTTGTCATAAGTAAGTAGACATTTAAACTATGACGATTGCATCCATAAATTTCTAACCATACTGTAGGCTACGGCTATATCCTCCTAAAACAGTTTGGTACTTTGTTTAGCCCCTGTAGCCTCCCTTTGGGAACCCCCACTGGGTCAGGTCATGACTGTGGATAACAGATTTAAGCACTTTCAAACACCAATTCTCATGCTTATTTCTAAAATGTTGATATAGTTACATATGTAAAATATTACAGGATGATAAATCTATTTTGTTTGAGTAAAGTATTTTTGTTGAACCTTCATAGTTTTATTACCTCTTAAATAGATGGAAATCAGTCGGGTAGAAGAGCCAAACGAACCCGGAAAAGAAAACCAAATTTAACTCCCATAAGAAATACATAGGGAGCAAATTTAGTTTACGTATAAGCCGAGTGGGACTGTAGATAAATATATATGCCGATGCTTGATGTGAAATTTGTGTGTGGATACCTTCAATTTGAGACCTCAATAACGAAAATTGGTTGTGTAGTAGAGCCAAACAAACTCGGAAAAGAAAACCCAAATTTTTTTAATTATATTCTAATTCACAAACCAATTCATCGCTAATATAGGGGTTACTAAAAATATTACATAAGGTTTCTCCAAGTAAGCCTAGAACAAGCCTTCAAACACAACTTCAAATGTTAATTTAGTTGCATGGACTCAAAGCAAACATGTTTATTTTATTATTCAAAATGGGACTGTCAATAAACGTCCAAACAAGATGTAAAGGCTTTTAGTATACGATTCAGGATAGTGTAGTCATTTGATTATATTACTCGATCCATGCCGTTTCTGTTCCAATATCCGTCGAATAATGCTATCAGCTATTTCTTGATCTACTTCATTTAAAAGTCCAGCTGATCTTATGCCTTTGTTTATGTGTCAAATACTGCTTCCATAAGGATTACATTGAAACTTTGAGGGCCCGTGGGGCGGATTCCTAAGAGATTTGTTTGACGCCATATAGATGTTGGCACTCATTGATATGGTCTTATCACCATGCAAAATTTGAAAACGATTGCTTCAGCCGTCTAGGAGGAGTTTGCGTATTGCGAAATGCTTAAGAGTCGGCGTATAAGAGCTTCGCTTGCTCTGCTCAATAAATTTGCCAAGTTAGATCAAAATATATCCATAAACAAGCAAACTACAACATTTTACAATATTCTCCATAAGAATAGCATGGGAATTTGAAATTTACAATTTTTGTTAATTTCATCCGTTACCAATAACTGTACAAAAACACTTTGATATACTAAATTATTGGTTTTTTAAGCTCTTAAAAAAGGTCTAGAGATAAATTAGGAAATTTGGTGTTTTGAGGGTCAAAAATGAGAAAACCCATTTTTTACCCCGTAAAACCCCGTTCCCATGGTCTGATCATGCTGGTTCGCAAACTCATTCAAGTTTATCCCGCCTTACACCATTAAACCAAATTTCATCAAAATCGGACAAAAATTACTCAAGTTATTGCATTCACAACTTATATGCTGGGTCAGGTTCAA